GAATGCTGTTGAGAAGGTGATGAAGGAACTGAAGAGGCGAAGAGAGACTTAAAATACACCAGACCAATTAATTTGTCTGTGGATTGGACTTTTGAAATTTTTAGTCGAAGTCGAGGTAAGTACACTTTCTAAAGCTAGAGATGTCCCGGCATTTCTTTGCATGTGACCAGAAGTTACGTGTACCTTGAAAAAACTCTGTGACAATGGTCTTGATCTTGCCACTTTCTCCTTTGAGTATTCCTTTCTCACCATGTTTCGAATGGCATCCAAGGATTAAGAGAAATTTCCTAGAAGACTCTAAAGACTCCAAGCACTGGCAAATTAATCACAGATCCCCTGGATCTCTGCATCTGTATCCTGGCTGTCAGGGATCCATGGCCCAAAAGAAATTAGCCACAGATCCAACTGTGGCAACTATTTTTGGAGAAGAGAGGGCTAAGAGGTCCAGGAGGTGGGGATTCATGTGTCCGTTTGAGTTAACACCACTTGCCCTATTGTGTCTGAATTTAGCATGCTACCACGCTATGCACTGCGTGCAATACCAGAGCCCATAATGCAAAATACAGTAGCATGAAAAATTCAAAATACAAGATACAGGAAACAGGTCTGCATGTGTTTGCAAAATGAGTACTAAGCCTACTTGGCCCACCAAACGATGAAGACATGAAATGGCAGCGGTTGTATTTCCAACTCCCCTTTTTAAAGGGGTAATAAATAAATAGTGGGTAGAGACGAAGGATTTGTCACGTACAAGTTTACAGATTTGAAATCGAAATCACCCTTTAATAGTTTTGCATAATCTCTCCTTTAATTTTTCTAGTCTTCAATTCTCATTTCTGTCTCACTTCCATGGAAGGTGCAAGGTAAAGAAAACATAACATAAGAACATAGAAATGGCCATACTGGCTCAGACCAAAGGTCCATCTAGCCCAGTATCTGGTCTTCCGACAGTGGCCAATGCCAGGTGCCCCAGAGGGAATGAACAGAACAGGTAATCATCAAATGATCCATTCCTTGTCACCAATTTCCAGCTTCTGGCAAACAGAGTCTAGGGACACAATCCTTTCCCGTCCTGGTAATAGCCATTGATGGACCTATCCTCCATGAATTTATCTAGTTCTTTTTTTAAACTTGTTACATTTTTGACCTTCGCAACATCCTCTGGCAAGGAGTTCCACAGGTTGGCTGTGCTTCATGTGAAAAAATACTTCTTTTGTTTGTTTTAAACCTGCTGCCTATTAATTTCATTTGGTGACCCTACTTCTTGTGTAATGAGAAGGAGTAAATAACACTTCCTTATTTAATTTCTCCACACCAGTCATGTTGACTCTTCCCCAACAAATTATGTTCATCTAGGTGTCTGACAATTTTGTTCTTTACTATAGTTTCAATCAGGTTGCCTGGTACTGAAGACTGGCTTACTGGCCTGTAATTGCCAGGGTCACCTCCAGAGCCCTTTTTAAAAATTGGCATCACATTAGCTATCCTCCAGTCATCTGGTACAGAAGCTGATTTAAATGATAGGTTACAGACTAGAGTTAGTAGTTCTGTAATTTCACATTTGAATTCCTTCAGAACTCTTGGGTGAATACCATCTGGTCCTGGTGACTTATTACTGTTTAGTTTAGCAAGTTTGTTCCAAAAACCTCCTTTAATGACACCTCAATCTGGGACATTTCCTCAGATTTGTCACCTAAAAAGAACGGTTCAGGTTTGGGAATCTCCCTCACATTCTCAGCTATGAAGACCGATGCAAAGAATTCATTCCGTTTCTCCGCAATGGCCTTATCATCCTTGAGTGCTCCTTTAGCATCTCTATCGTCCACTGGCCCCACTGGTTGTTTAGCAGGCTTCCTGCTTCTGATGTACTTAAAAAAAATTTGCTATTACTTTTTGAGTCTTTGGCTAGCTGTTCTTCAAATTCTATTTTGGCCTTCCTAATTATATTTTTACACTTCATTTACCAGAGTTTATGTTTCTTTCTATTTTCCTCATTAGGATTTAACTTCCACTTTTTAAAGGATGCCTTTTTGCCTCACACTGCTTCTCTTACTTTGTTGTTTAGCTATGGGGGCTCTTTTTTGGTTCTCTTACTATGTTTTTTAATTTGGGTTATATATTTATGTTGAACAGCCTCTATTGTGGTGTCTTTAAAAAGTTTCCATGCAGCTTGCAGAGATTTTATTTTTGGTGCTGTACCTTTTAATTTCTGTTTAACTAACCTCCTCATTTTTGTGTAGTTTCCCTTTCTGAAATTAAATGCTACAGTGTTGAGCCACTATGGTGTTTTTCCCTGCCGGGACTAGCTGCTCCAAGAAGCAGTCATTTAAGGTGTAAAGAAACTGTATCTCTGCATCCTGTCCTGAGGTCAATATAATTGAAATCCCCCATTATTATTGAGTTTTTAATTTTAATAGCCTCTCTAATCTCCCTGAGCATTTCACAGCCACTATCACCATCCTGGTCAGGTGGTCTGTAATATATCCCGACTGCTATATTCTTATTATTCAAGCATGAAATTACTATCCATAGAGATTCTATGATACAGTTTGGTTCATTTAAGATTTTTACTTCATTTGATTCTATGCTTTCTTTCACATATAGTGCCACTCCCCCACCAGCACAACCTGTTCTGTCCTTCAGATATATTTTGTACCTTGGTATTACTGTGTCCCATTGATTATCCTCATTCCACCAAGTTTCTGTGATGCCGGTTATATCAATATCCTCATTTAATATGAGGCACTCTACTTCACCCATCTTATTATTTAGACTTCTAGCATTGGTATATAAGCACTTTAAAAACCTTTCACTTTTTAGCTGTCTCACATTACATGATGTAACTGAATGAGACTTTTTTTCATTTGACTGTTTCTCATCAGATCCTACCTGTATTTTATCATCTTCTCTTCTCTTTACTAGGATGTAGAGAATCTCCATTAGTAGATCCTCCCCTAAGGGATGTCTCTGTCCGAACCACATGCTCTTCCTCACCTGTCGGCTTTCCCCCAGCCCTTAGTTTAAAAACTGCTCTACGACCTTTTTAATTTTATGTGCCAACAATCTGGTTCCATTTTGGTTTACGTGGAGTCCATCCTTCCTGTATAGGCTCCCCCTTTCCCAAAAGTTTCCCCAGTTCCTAATAAATCTAAAACCCTCTTCCCTACACTATCATCTCATCCACGCATTGAGACCCTGCAGTTCTGCCTTTCTAACTGGCCCTGCACATGGAACTGGAAGCATTTCAGAGAACGTTACCATGGAGGTCCTGGACTTCAATCTCTTATTTGGCCTCCAGGATTTTTCTCCTATCCTTCCTATGTCAATGGTACCTACATGTACCACAACCACCGGTTCCTCCCCAGCACTACACGTAAGTCTATCTAGACGTCTCGAGAGATCCACAACCTTTGCACCAGGCAGGCAAGTCACGATGCGGTTCTCCCGGTCATCGCAAACTCAGCTATGTTTCTAATGATCGAATCATCCATTACTAATACCTGTCTCTTCCTAATAACTGGAGTTCCCTCCCCCGGAGAGGTACCCTCAGTGCAAGAGGATACCACAACATCATCTGGAAGGAGGGTCCCAACTATGGAATCGTTTCCCTCTGCTTCAGTTGGATGTTCTCTTTCCCTGAGACTTTCAATCTCCTCAACAGCACAGAAGCTGTCATACCAAGAGTGGGACCGTTCTACTGTGTCCCGAAAAGTCTCATCTATGTACCTCTCTGTCTTCCTTAGCTCCTCCAGCTCAGCCACCCTGGTCTCCAAAGCCCGTACACGGTCTCTGAGTGCCAGGAGCTCCTTGCACTGAATGCACACATAGGCCACTTGCCCATAGGGTAGGTAATCATACATGCTGCATTGGGTGCAATAAACTGGGTAGCCCCCACTCTGTTGCTGGACTTCTGCCTTCATTCTCTTTTTATTCCTGAAGCTCGTTCCTTTGTTGTTGTTTTGTTTTTATCGGGGGGTGTTTTTTGGCTTAAGTTTAAAGATGTTTAAGAAATGTTAAGTGTATCTAGCCCTCTCTCACGCTCCACCTGTAAACTCCTTTGCAAAATTGCCCTATTAGTCGCTTCTGTTTGCTAGCTCTTCTGGTCACTAGGAGCAGGCTTTTTGAAGCCCTGGTCTTCCAGAGTAGCCTTCAAACCTTCCAAGCCTTCCTGAGTAGCCCTGGTCTTCCTGAGTAACCATATCCATGTTAAATAAAAATGTAATATGGATATGGGTTAAGCCTTTTTATTTTCATCTTTGGATGCAAATCCTTAACCCTATGTTTATGGGTTATTTTTGTAACAGAAATTAATATCCCTTAAATTCTAGCTATAGATTGCTTACATTATTTATAAAGCACTGTTATCAATCAATGTCACCTGAAATTAACACTTTCAAATACTATTAGGTGCACAGCCTATAAAAAAAGAGAAGGTGCAATAATTACTGTCTGTTTGGTAAAAATTCATAAAATTTGTTCTTTGAGGCAGTCTACAGGTAATGGAGAACATAGTGATACAGACAAGAAAAGCCATGACAACCTGCAAGTGTGATGTGTATCTCAAAGGTAAGTGCAGGAATCTAAAATTTGAGACAATTAATTTCAGGCACGTCTTGTTCTTCATGAGCGTCATGACTGTACATTATCTTTTCCGATAAAATTGCAAATGAAATCTTTAACTACTTATTTATTTAGGAAGTTTTAATAGGTTTACAAATCCTTACCATGTAAATATTGGATATAAAACAATAATGATTACAATAGTGAACCTTTGTTTAGAGAAACACATATATAAACTGTATGGTATTAAGAGTTGGAGAAATTGTGGCAAGAGAGATTTCAAGGATATGTCCAGTGATTAGAAAGTATTGGAGTGCAATCTTTTTTTATTTTTTTTGTGCTTCAAAATTTTCCTTATGAAAGAAACAAAGATACTGCCAATTAATAACCTAAGTCCTGACAATATGTTAAAAGGGTAGTGTTAAGAGTTATATACTTACCACCACTACCTTCCGTCGTCTTTGTGGTTTTTTTATGCTTATATGAATATAACTGCAGAAGGGGGAGAAAAAGGAAAATTAGACAAAATATATTCATCTGTTTCAATAGAGTAGTAATTTCATAAAACATTTAACCGAGTTGTGACACCCTTAATTAGTGACAAAATATTGCAGGTTTTAGTCAGTTTTGGTATATTTTATAAATTGGGAGGATGGGCTTGTGGTTTAGGCACTGGACTGGGATTCAGTATATTTAAATTTATTCCATGGCTCTCCAACAGACTTGTTGGCAAGTCATTTAACCTCTGGACCTTCGCTCCCCATCTGTAAAGAGGAAATAATACTCCCGTCTTTTCAGACTTTGTCTGTCTTGTCCATTTATTTTAGATTGTAAATTCTAAGGGGCAGGAACTGTGTGTGTATACAGTGCACAGCACAATGGAGCTTCAATCTCATTTGGGGTCTCTGGATGCTTTTTATTTTTTAAGATGCTGATATTGTAAGTTCAAAAGAACACTGCTGAGTTATTGAGTATCCTGCAAAGATCCTCTCCATGATCTTGAGTCGGAGTTGAGAATGCACAACACCTCTCCAGAAGATTCTTCAGCAGCTTGTATGATTGGGTCCTAAATTTGAACTACTCTATTTTAAAACTGTTATAAAATCCCATATGGATTCCAAATATGATGTTCTTTATTTGTTTTGTGGTATTTTGTTTTGATTTGTTTTGTGTTATTACGTCATCTTCTCCAATGCCAAGTTTTGTTCAAAAAGCAGCTGTTATTTGGAATAAACAAAAATGTTTATGGGCCCACTAATGGCACTATAACAGCAGTTATCTTACACTCTTGCCAGAAGTGTGTCAACATCAGATCTTTGGACTTGATAAGAAACTATATAAATTGATTTCCGTTAAAAACTACTATGTGAATTTCAGTTTCACATTCAAAATGCAGGGAAAAAATAATCAGTAGTGCTCAGTTATGTCCCTTTCAGTTACTTGCTGTTGGAACAACAAACAATAATGCAATTTTGTTCATGCACAAACACCCAGGCAAATATGGGTATTCATACAAACTGCACCTATTCTCTGTGAGTTTCTGCAAACAAAAACATGCTCACAGATGTTTTTTTAAAAAGCACAATCAAGGCCATAAACACGTCTGATCAAACAGTAATTCAGAATTCAAATAAATGTTCTTGAGCACTTCTTCTACAGCATTTAACCAGCCCAAATCTACTCAGGAATAATTTCCAGTTTCCCCAACCAGCAGCAGCAACCACAGCTGGTGCATGAAATTTGTGCTGCCTACAGTTTTTCAGTGAAGCTGACTGGAATCTTGTTAATTTCACTCTGTTCTTCCTTTGCAAAACTAGGAGACACAGCAGAGGCAGTGGAGTTGTTTGAACATCTGGAATCACAACTCCATCATTTCCATTCAAGCTCAATATAGAGCATAACATTTTAGAAGCTATAGTATCTGCAAGACGGCCCTTCCTATTGTAATTTACCAGCTGCTGTCAGTACCACTGCCCTCATTGGGGTAGACTCCAAACTTTGTCCTTATACTAATACTGGAGATTCTCTTTAAACCAAATTGATCTTTAACCCATTAACTCATGTTAAACCTACAAATTGCCTGGTCTTCACTAGGATTTTACCACTTATTAAAAAACACACCTTTGTTCCTGGTGAAGAGAAGGCCTAAGTGTTGGTACCACCTGCTTTGAAACTGTCTTCGCTAGAAGGGACACTTTACAGGTGGGTAAAGAAATGGGTAATTATATGAATTAATCATAACAAGTTCACATTTTAAAAAGGCAAATTACTTTTCACTATTTATACTTTGTTTGCTTTTTGCATTTTTATCAGCTTGGACAAGTAAAACTCAGTGTTGCCAGTTTCACATTTATTCATAGATACTAAGGTCAGAAGGGACCATTATGATCATCTAGTCTGACCTCCTGCACAACGCAGGCCACAGAATTTCACCCACCCACCCTTGCGAAAAACCTCTCACCTATGTCTGAGCTATTGAAGTCCTCAAATCGTGGTTTAAAGACTTCAAGGAGCAGAGAATCCTCCAGCAAGTGACCCGTGCCCCATGCTACAGAGGAAGGCGAAAAACCTCCAGGGCGTCTTCCAATCTGCCCTGGAGGAAAATTCCTTTCTGACCCCAAATATGGCGATCAGCTAAACCCTGAGCATATGGGCAAGATTCACCAGCCAGATACCACAGTCAGTTTCAGGTTCTCAGTGCAGCCACATTTTTATTGCAAACCCTGCAGAGAAATGTAGAGTTGTTTAAAGCCAACTATTTCCATTAGCTATTTTTTTCCCCATTTTAACTTTTGGAAACACTTCTGTTGGCTTTGGTTTGTCAATGTATTCCAGTGGGTATGGAGGGCAGTGGTGTCGGACTCAGAAAAACAGTATTCCATTCCTCTCTTGGCCACAGATTTACTGTGTAATCGTAGGTAACTCACATCTTTGTGCAATGTTTCAGGCCCTTTCGCCCTTTGTTAGTTTTCTCTAATTAGTTTTGTCAGCTCTTTGGGGCAGGGACTGTCTCCTATTATGCATTTATATAGCACCTAACGCAATGGACCCCCGATCTCTATTAGGGTTTCTCGGAACTATGGTAATAATAAAAGATTTGTACAAAATTTAAATGTTGAGCCAGTTTTTCATACTTACTCCAGTTTTTTAAACTTTTCCCGCCCGGCAGCCACGTATTTGCCGCCCTGCTTTAGGTCGGACAGGTTGCGGAGGCGGTGCCCTTCCTGGGGGGTGTACAGGGTCCTCACCCCAAAGGGCACCTCCACCCCTTCGTTCAGCAGGGCGATCAGCGCCTCGAAAGTCTTCACGTAGCGATGGTGGATCACGAACTTCCTGCCCGAAAAGAAGGGGTCCCCGTTGCGGTACACCAGCACCGTGCTGGCCGGGGTCACCCCCGTCAGGCTGTAGCTGGCCCGGGGGCGTGGCGATGGCACCATGGCCCCGGGGAAGGTGGGCTGGGAGGGGCAGGTGAGGCTAACACACACCATAACCCCCCCGCCCCCAGCCAGGGCACGGGTGGGGGGCTATTCACAGCCGCTGTCCGGCCTCCTGAGCTGTACCAGGCACCAGCTGGGGCTGCTCCCCAGGCCTCCTAATTCATAGCGTCCCCAGGCGGCCCGGCCCGGCCCCCACCCCCGGATCGCAGCAGCTGTCCCGAGCCGGCCCCTCTCCCCTCCCGGCACGGGGCTGACGTGGCCCGCGGGGATTGTGATCCCCATCCCCGCAGGCAGGGGGCAAGCCGGGCCCCGGGGCACTGACTGGTCTCCCCGGCAACCTGCCGAGCGGGGGCCCGCCACCAGGACAGCGCGGCCGGGGGGTCTGCACGAAAAACCCGACCTGGTCTCGCCCAGTCTCTCCTTCCTCCGCGGCCACCGCACCTCCTCTGCGGGCACTCAGATCCCTCCGCGCGGAGTCTGCCCCGCGCCGGGTCCCCTTCCGTCCTCCTCTACTTCACCGCCTTCTCCCACCCCATCAGATCCCCTTCCTTCCTCCCTCCCCCAGTCACCTCTCCCCGGCCCCCATCAGATCCCCCTCCTTCCTGCCCCCTTAACCCCCTTCTCCCACCCCATCAGATCCCCTTCCCTCCTCCCTCCCCCAGTCACCTCTCCCTGGCCCCCATCAGATCCCTTTCCTTCCTCCCCCTTAACGCCCTTCTCCCACCCCATCAGATCCCCTTCCTTCCTCCCCCAGTCACCTCTCCCCGGCACCCATCAGATCCCCTTCCTTCCTTCCCCTTTAACCCCCTTCTCCCACCCCACTCAGATCCCCTTCCTTCCTCCCCCAGTCACCTCTCCCCCCCCCATCAGATCCCCTTCCTTCCTCCCTCCCCCAGTCACCTCTCCCCACCCCCATCAGATCCCCTTCCTTCCTCCCTTCCCCAGTCACCTCTCCCCGGCCCCCATCAGATCCCCTTCCTTCCTCCCTCCCCCCAGTCACTTCTCCCTGGCCCCCATCAGATCCCCTTCCTTCCTGCCCCCTTAACTCCCTTCTCCTACCCCACTCAAATCCCCTTCCTCCCTCCCCCAGTCACCTCTCCCCAGCCCCCATCAGATCCCCCTCCTTCCTGCCCCCTTAACCCCCTTCTCCCACCCCATCAGATCCCCTTTCTTCCTCCCTTCCCCAGTCACCTCTCCCCACCCCCATCAGATCCCCTTCCTTCCTCCCTCCCCCCAGTCACTTCTCCCCAGCCCCCATCAGATCCCCTTCCTTCCTACCCCCTTAACCCCTTTCTCCCACCCCACCCGATCCCCTCCTTCCTCCCCCAGTCACCATCAGATCCCCTTCTTTCCTCCCCACCTGCCATCACTCCACCCCTTCTCCCACCCCCACTCAGATCCCATTCCTCCCTCCCCAGCCCCAGTCACTTCACCCCATCTCCCACCCACCATCGGATCCCCTTCCTTCCTCCCCACCCGCCATCACTCCACCCCTTTCTCCCACCCCCATCAGTTCCCCTTCCTTCCTCTTGACCTGCAACCACTTCACCCCCTTTGCAGAAATCCCCTCAGTCTCTCCTCCTTTCTCCCTAGCACAAAATTTCCTCAAACTCTCTTCCTTCCCTTCCTGCTACTTACTATTCTCCCATCATGTCACCTTAAATTCAGGTCTGTCATTGCTCCCTCCTGCTACGTTGTAGCCCTTCCAAAATCCCAGAGAACTCCCTTTCGCACAAACAAGCTAGTAGAATTTTTGTCAGAGAAAACACCCCTAGTTAAAGAGGAAAAACCGGTAGAAGACTCATTTTAAAGTCATTGGTTCCACATTAGAGTAAGGTGGCACAGGACTGCTTGACAACATTCTGGCAGCTGTCCCCAGGGAGGGAAAAAAGCAATTTTAAAAAAATAGTGCAATCACTTCTGTAGTTCTCCAACTGCAAAAGCTTGATTGCTATTGCTTTAAATAGATCATTTCAGTTTGTGAGTGATTATTTGTTACCAGTTTTAGAATTATTTTCAGGCTCCTTAGGGACTTTGTCATGCTTCTCTTGTGTGAGATTTATTGGTGGGAAATTCTCATGCTGTGACACGGTGAAGGAGTGAACTTTCAGAATATTTGTAGACAGAAATTTGAAATATGGTGTTGAAAAAAATCTCATAATTATGGGGCAGATTTTAAAAACTTCAAAATGTATTGAGTGTTAGAGAGTCTCTCCTTCCAAATGAGATTATACTTACACATTGTAAAGAGAGTGGTCACTTTGGATGGGCTATTACCAGCAGGAGAGTGAGTTTGGAGGGGGGGGAGCGGAGGGTGAGAAAACCTGGATTTTTGCTGGAAATGGCCCAACTTGATTATCATACACATTGTAAGGAGAGGTTTCAGAATAACAGCCGTGTTAGTCTGTATTCGCAAAAAGAAAAGGAGTACTTGTGGCACCTTAGAGACTAACCAATTTATTTGAGCATAAGCTTTTGTGAGCTATAGCTCACTTCATCGGATGCGCATCCAATGAAGTGAGCTGTAGCTCGCGAAAGCTTATGCTCAAATAAATTGGTTAGTGTCTAAGGTGGCACAAGTACTCCTTTTCTTATTGTAAGGAGAGTGATCACTTTAAATAAGCTTAGAGACTAACCAATTTATTTGAGCATGAGCTTTCGTGAGCTACAGCTCACTTCATCAGATGTATACCGTGGAAACGTATTCCACGGTATACATCTGATGAAGTGAGCTGTAGCTCATGAAAGCTCATGCTCAAATAAATTGGTTAGTCTCTAAGGTGCCACAAGTCCTCCTTTTCTTTTTGCGAATACAGACTAACACGGCTGTTCCTCTGAAACCTTTAAATAAGCTATTACCAGCAGGAGAGTGGGGTGGGAGGAGGTATTGTTTCATGGTCTCTGTGTATATAATGTCTTCTGCAGTTTCCACTGAATGCATCCGATGAAGTGAGCTGTAGCTCACGAAAGCTTATGCTCAAATAAATTGGTTAGTCTCTAAGGTGCCACAAGTACTCCTTTACTTTTAACTAAAGGATAGAATACAAAGTAAGCTATAAAGGTTAATAAACAAAATGGAGAAAAGCTTCTTTCTTAGAACAAGAGATGACACATATTAGATGACTCATGAGAGGAAGGATGGTCCAGTGGGGAGGATGCTGGCCTGGCACTTGTGGGTCCAATCCCCTGTTCTGCAACAGGTTTCTTATGTGACGTTTAGCAAGGTATTTAATCTCTCTGTGCCTCCATTCTCCATCTGCAAAATGGGGATAGCTGCATTTCCCTATCCAGCAGGGTGTTATGAGGAGAAATACATTAAAGATAGGGATTACAAATACCTTGGATAGATTGTAGTATTACAGAATAAGCACTTTTCACTGACACTTCATAAGAGTGATAAACAACATAATACTAATGATGTCAGGAATATTAATTAGGTGTAAATCAAAAGCATAGATTACAAACAGTATATGTTATGCCACAACATATTTTGAATGCTCTCAAATACAGTGCATTAAACAAGTAAAGTCAGATACAATTCTGTAATACCCAGTTTTGACCCTATATAAAATATACATTTATGTCAAATTTCACAGTGACAGACTACTTACATATAAAGAAAAAGCAGTCCCCATTTCATGGGCAATTCAGCTTTAACTACAGAATCACTGCCAGTGCCTCCATAATTGTTACAGACAATGCTATTTTACATTCAATTATTATGCAAAATTCCAGAAAATTGTTTGCCATATCTGCCTTCATATATATATCATGCAGCATTTTAATTACTACAATATAAGCTTGAGTACAAACAATTAAAAACCCACCCACACTCACCCCCCATAAAGATGCCTGCCCATGGCTACTCTCCATCTCCATCACACCACTTCCCTCCAGAAGCCATCGTGCAAATGAGAGGTGCATGGGGAACAAGGCTGGTGTGTGCCCAGAGTAAGGAAAGCAAAGCAGAAGGTGGGGCCACCTTTTCCTGTCTGCAGTATATCATGATCATGTGTCATCACACAAAAAGCCTCACCATGCCTTGTGGAGTCAGCCCCAGGCTGAGCACTTTTTTCTCTCCTCATTCAGCATAATCTAGGCCCAGGGTCACAAAACTGCGTGCTTAGAGCTATGCTTCTGAAGACATATTTAGGCACTGACATGATTTTTTTTTTTTTAAGTGCTGAGCACCCAATAGCTCCCACTAATGTCAAAGAGAACTCCGGGATGCTCAGTATTTTTGAAAATCAGGTCACTAATTTAGATCGCTAAATAGGGGTTTAGAAGCATAACTTTAAGCACTCTTTAAGCATAACTTTCAAGCATAGGCTCGTAGAGAAACAGACAATATTTGGGTGTTAGATTACAGCAAAAAAAGTGCAAGGCAAAGGAGGGTTAAATCATTCTGTGTGTTTTCATAAAGAAATATATGTTTCCAAATTCCACCAATATATTGACACACTTGAAGCTGACAGAGAGACACAACCTGTCTTTCTTCCTAGGGTTTGGAATCTTGGCAAAATAATCCATGAGCGCACTTTGTACTATCAGAAGGATAGGCTGTAGAGATGCTTATGAATACATAATTTATATAATGAATAATTATGAAATGGCTGTATATGAGAACTGTAGACATGAGTGAAAGCTGTAGAACATAAGTAAATCTTTTTGATTGGCTTATAATTAAGACAGACATAACAATAAAGCATAGCCTGTCTCTGATTTATTTGTATTTAAAAATGCCATTTCTTTTCACCACTAAGACACTACAGGCAGTACATTTTAGGGTAATTAGTGGATTTACAAAGTGGTTAAAATAATTTGGCCTTCAATTTTGATTCTCACAAAGATGTGCACTGTGCACTGTGTTATCATTGATGTATTTTTTGGAGAAAATCAATTTCAGCAAAAATATATTACTTTCCTTATATTCCTAGGAGTACAGAAGTCATTGTATTATTGTACAGCCATGAGACATACAGAATTGTTATGTTTGAATTATTGCTGGGAAAAAGTCATGCTTAGTTTAATGAATGTGTACCATTCAACAAATATATTCAAGTTTATATAATACGGAAAAAAGTGAACATCCATTCTATAACCCTTAAAGCCTTTTTTAGAAAATCCTCTTTGTTCATTTGCTTGTATAAAATAGAGCCCGTGGGAAACCCCAGAGACGCATCCTACTTACACCTCCATCAGGAACAATAATGAGTCTCACATGAGTGATTACATCCTGCATTTCCAGGGCAGTACCGTCAAAGAAATGCCTCTTGTTAGGCTTAAGCTAAAACAAAAATGTAAGGTAAAACTGGCATACTTAAATACTGCCTTTTAACAGAATAACTGTTACATATAGACAGAAGGGTGCATATGTCCACTAACACTTTAGTTACAGATAGAATAGATGAAATTCAGATACACAGAGAAGAAACTACAAAATTCAAGAATCTAAAATAAATCTCATTATTATTTGATATACTGTATAATGCTTCTCCATCCCCCAAGGGGAAAAAAAATCATGAAAACAAGGTGTGTGTCCACTTTTGCTTACTATACTGTGTAGTTTTGTCCTTGTAGTGTTTGTAAATTGATCTACTCATATAAACACCTACAAAACACTTTTTTAAAAAAGCATTATTTCAATACAACCAATAGGCTATAAGCTAACAGTCCACAGTATTCATGTGATCTAGAAATAAAAGCCTTACCTTTGTAACAGAAAGCAAAGGGTTCCATTTTGGATCCTGTTTAAGGTTCCATTTCTGTGTTATGCAATCTTTTTCCTTCTTGTGTGTTCAGAACACAGGCCTCAAGTTTGCAGGTATCTGGAAAGTTACCTGACAGCAAACAGTAACATGTTTTTGTATATTTTTGTTGCATTATAATTATTTTCTTAAGATAAATTTAGGCTTTCAGAGCTGAAACACAGAGTAATGAATTTCACAAAACACAGAATTGATTCTTTACGTTTATACTGCAATTATGACTAGAAGAAATAAATAGAGCTGCACAAATAATTAAAAAGCTATTTACAAATATTTTAATATAAAAAAAATCACAACACTTCTATTTATTCATGAATATTAGTGAATTATGCACCCACCTCTATCACCAGGACCAATAACATCCACATAATTTATTCCATAAATTCCACATTTGTCATACTATATTTGTTCAATAAAATACATTTTTTCTACAAATATTTAAAACCTACTGCTTGGATGAATATGGTTTGACTCTTTGTAAGAACTGATATAAAGTGCTCAGATTCTCCAATCCATTCGATCGTGACTTCAATGAAACCAAGGTTTTAATGGCAAAATACTCATGGACTTCAATGGAGTCAGGATTTCACTCAGTGACTGCCCTCAAAGATTCCCCCAGCATTGAGGAATCCTCCCCTGATTAGGGCAGCTATAGTGGCTTCTATGCTACCCAGTCCTGGTGCCGTTATGCCCAGCAGAAGGAAGATACAACCTAGGTGCCCCTGAGCTTAGCTGATCATCAACTGCTGAAACAGTTTAACTCCACCTTTGCCCAGTAACCAATGGTCCTGCACAATATATCTATGGTACAACATATGGTTTTGGTATGATCAGTAAAATACAGGGGCCAAACAAGCAGCATTTGTTTTACCTTTAAAGTGATAAGTGTCTATTTCAATGTGAGTTATTACACAAGGATGTGCCAGCCGGAAAACTGCCCATTCATTCCCTGGTATGAGGAGGATACCTTTGTCATCAGCCTGAAAATAAGAGGGAAAAGCCTTTTACATGGTTCAGTGAATTACAAAAAATCAAAAAGGTAAAGGCAAGATGGTACATTTTTGCATTTACTAGCTGAACTTGATTTCTTAAAGGAAAAAAGTATAAGGTACGTTTTACTTTCAAACTATTGAATTAATCTGATTGAACACAGGATCCCCCACCTCCCTTCTAACAATGAGAAATTTTTCTGCAAAGAATTACATTAAATAATATATAAGCTACCTTCACGGAATGGTTTAGAGCTCTATTAATAGGACTGAGTAAGATATGGAATCTGCAGGTCAATACAAATATAATGCATTTAAAGAGAGAATTCACAAGCAATTCAGTATGTTTTCTTATGGATAGCTGTAGGATGACAAGTAGTTTCTCTTCAAGAAGAAATCCCATTTTTAGAGTCTGAAAGCCAAAATCATCCTAATCTTAAGGTTCCATTAAACAAAAGTGAACTAAAGGAGTAAATAAAGTGATCCCTTTCCCGTTGCAAGTGCCGGCATTTCAATCATTCCACATATCACATCACATGTAATTCTTACAATAAGCATTCAACCTGTTTTCCATTATTTAGGGCTTCTTTTGAGGCCAGTGGCAAAACTCCTATTGACTGCAATGAATGCAGGATTAGGCCATTAATAATTTGCTCCCTTTAAACCTGCTTGCACATTTCTCAATAAATATTGCATCCTTTAACTTTATTATTATATCCATTTGTCTCTCTGTTAAGAACCTGGATTCCCAAAGATGATAATCATCTCTCCTTTAAGTATAGTTCATTTCATTATCAAGAAAGGTTAAGAATCCAGATAGAGATGGTGAGAAAAAGACAGACCATAGGGGGCCTAATAGTTTTGAACTAGACCTAGAGAATATATTGCAATGTCTACAATATGAGTTGCTGCTACTTCCTGGGAACACAACACACACTAAGAAAAATTTATTTTAAATCTTCACAAGTTTCACTAACACACACACACACACCCCTCTTGGGGATTTAAAATGAAAATCTTTATGAAAAAAATAATTGTAAACAGATCCAAAATAAGAACTGTAACTCACATATTCCTTACTTTTAAAACTGGTGGCCTGTCCGGTCTTCTTGCTGTTTCTCAACCATCTTCTATGGATGTTGCTCTTCCTATCCCTACAAAAATAGGAAACTGTGAACTGGCTCCCCCTTCAGCTCCTGGAAACCCTGGCTGATTAATCCTTTTTGTGAATTAAGCAGCACATACAGTCCAGCAGAGTACCTCCACCAAGTGTCTTTATTGATGTTTATATTCCAAGTGCATCACAACATAGCAGCCGTCATGTGTAGCCCCGCTCCTTTCTTTTCCTGTCGTTTTATGGTGCAGCAGACTCAGCATGTGAGACTATGAGCGTCACCTACCTCAGTTTTCACATAAGCAAAAAAATCAATGTCCTGTATCCTTAAAAAAGTGAAGTGATGCTTTTTTTAAATGCTACTCCACTTTCCCAGTACTCTCACCAGTCCTTTTGGACTATCTTCTCTCATCCCGAGGCATCTTGGATTCTTTATGACTAACTTTCTCTCGATGTAATTGTCCTTGCATTGCCACAGCAGATGCTCAACTCTTTCTTGACTTTGCATGCATCACACAACCCATCTTTGTGCTTGTTTAGCAAATTTAAGTTACCATTCAGATCACAGTGACCTGTTAGCACACTAAATATAGTTAATTTACTTCTTCTATCATAGTTATTAAGTACACTACTATCCTCAAGTTTAGCACACATTTCATAGAACCTTCTTCCTTTTTTCTCTTTGGCCCATAGTTCTTACCATTGCTTCTTAAGTTCTCTCTTAACCAAACTTCTGATGTCCTGTTTATGCAAAGGTATCTGTATATCAACCTCCCCATTTTAAGGCATTTGTCACTGCTTTATCTGCCATTTCATTGCCCAGTACCCCAACATGCACTGGAATCCACACTATTACAATGTGTATACCCATTTGTACTACCTCTGTAGTACAGAACAATAGTTCATTGATTAAGTCATTCCTGTTTTATGTGGCTTCTTTTCTAATCACCACTATACCTGATAAAGAGTCAGATAGGATAGAACAGTCATAGCTAGGCATACATCTCTTATCCAGGTGAATCCATTTGTGTCCCATGGAACAGATATGGTGAATGCTGCTATAGCCACAATATGCCTATGATTGGACCACCCTTTTTGGTGCAGGAGAATCATATGGTGTAGTGGGATCACATCGTATTGGAAACCTGGGATAACCAGCAGTGGCTTCAGAACTTCTAAATTAGGAAACAGATCTTCATGGAGATGTGCGATGAGCTTGCACCAAACCTCCCACACCAGAACACTTGATTCAGGCCAGTCAGCCTCACCTCAATCCCTGGAAAAATCATGGAGCAGGTCCTCAAAGAATCAATCCTGAAGCACTTGCATGAGAGGAAAGTGATCAGGAACAGCCAGCATGGATTCACCAAGGGAAGGTCATGCCTGACTAATCTAATCGCCTTTTATGATGAGATAACTGGTTCTGTGGATGAAGGGAAAGCAGTGGATGTATTGTTTCTTGACTTTAGCAAAGCTTTTGACACGGTCTCCCACAGTATTCTTGTCAGCAAGTTAAGGAAGTATGGGCTGGATGAATGCACTATAAGGTGGGTAGAAAGCTGGCTAGATTGTCGGGCTCAACGGGTAGTGATCAATGGCTCCATGTCTAGTTGGCAGCCGGTATCAAGTGGAGTGCCCCAAGGGTCGGTCCTGGGGCCGGTTTTGTTCAATATCTTCATAAATGATCTGGAGGATGGTGTGGATTGCACTCTCAGCAAATTTGCGGATGATATTAAACTGGGAGGAGTGGTAGATACGCTGGAGGGGAGGGATAGGATACAGAAGGACCTAGACAAATTGGAGGATTGGGCCAAAAGAAATCTGATGAGGTTCAATAAGGATAAGTGCAGGGTCCTGCACTTAGGACGGAAGAACCCAATGCACAGCTACAGACTAGGGACCGAATGGCTAGGCAGCAGTTCTGCGGAAAAGGACCTAGGGGTGATAGTGGACGAGAAGCTGGATATGAGTCAGCAGTGTGCCCTTGTTGCCAAGAAGGCCAATGGCATTTTGGGATGTATAAGTAGGGGCATAGCGAGCAGATCGAGGGACGTGATCGTTCCCCTCTATTCGACATTGGTGAGGCCTCATCTGGAGTACTCTGTCCAGTTTTGGGCCCCACACTTCAAGAAGGATGTGGATAAATTGGAGAGAGTCCAGCGAAGGGCAACAAAAATGATTAGGGGTCTGGAACACATGAGTTATGAGGAGAGGCTGAGGGAGCTGGGATTGTTTAGCCTGCAGAAGAGAAGAATGAGGGGGGATTTGATAGCTGCTTTCAACTACCTGAAAGGGGGATCCAAAGAGGATGGCTCTAGACTGTTCTCAATGGTAGCAGATGACAGAACGAGGAGTAATGGTCTCAAGTTGCAGTGGGGGAGGTTTAGATTGGATATTAGGAAAAACTTTTTCACTAAGAGGGTGGTGAAACACTGGAATGCGTTACCTAGGGAGGTGGTAGAATCTCCTTCCTTAGAGGTTTTTAAGGTCAGGCTTGACAAAGCCCTGGCTGGGATGATTTAACTGGGATTTGGTCCTGCTTCGAGCAGGGGGTTGGACTAGATGACCTTCTGGGGTCCCTTCCAACCCTTATATTCTATGATTCTATGATAAGCCATACTAATGCAGAACCAAGGGACTATTGCCTTGTGGAAGCTAGCAACACCAGACAGCTACCTGACAGTTGCAAACCAATGAGGGGTTGTAAAGTCCACTGTTGGCATCATGGTTGTGCAGGTTTGCAAAGCAATTAACACTGTGCTAACAGTGTGCCCGTCAATTCAGCCATCATAATGACCACAAAATTGGATAGACTCATAGATCTCTGAATTCCAAATTCAGGGATACAAAAGGCCATTCCCACTCTACCTGTAGACTTCTGTAGAGTCATTGGTAGAGATTTGCCATATATAAACTCCTAAATCATAGTCATCATATTTAATGGTCCTGCTCTTCCCTTTGTTTTTTCATATAATTCCAAATCCACAGCTAGAGAGATAACTGTCCAGCTGTAGTTCAATTTCCCATGACTAAAGATTTTAATTTCTCCCAGATCTTCCTTTTCACCCAAGTCTTATACCTGTTGGATCATATTAAAGAAGTTCTGTATTAAAATCACAAATGAGTTTGATTCCCCAGAGTTTAAATTCCAGGGTATTACTAATTAAGAGGTCTCTTGGTTTTTGGTACTGTTTCTCTCCCTCTATGTGTGAAACTTGCAAGCTGCTAATTGTGTTAGTACATTCTAAGACAGAGTCTATTCTCAAAGCAATTCACAGAGAGAGAGAGACTCAAAGCAATACTCTAACAACAGAAACAGCACCCAGAGACTCCCCACCCTTTTGTTGTATTAACAATTGTGATTAAAATAGAGATAGAGGATGTATGTGGATGGATGCTTGGTGTGGATAATAACTGAATGATCAGGGAGGTGCCAGCCTAAGAATCCAGTGTCCATCGGCTGAAGAAGGCGTCAAGTGGAAATAACCAGAGGACCCCACCCGGAGGGCAGACTGGAATCCACCCAACAGCCTCAAGAATGGGAGAACCAAAGAACAAGATAACATCTTGGAGCCGTCAGGAATGTGCTATCTGCTGATTGATTCAGCAACAGCATGATGAAGCAATTCCCATAGACTGGCATAGGAAGAAATTCCTATAAAAATAGACTCTAAAAAGTGAGAACTCTGGGGTCTGATTCTGCAAACCAACTTCCAGGAGCATCAGATGAGCATCTGACAAGGCCCTGCTCCCTCCTCATGTCCAGGCCACCTGGCCAGTGGCTTGGCATGAGCAACTCTAAGGCTGGTAACTATGATAACAACCTTGCAGAACCTGTGTGTGTATGTTTGTATGAATGAATGTGTGAATAAATATGAGATTGAATGGAATGTTATAACTATAACTAACTGCTTACTATGATTCTTTCTGTATTCACAATAAATGTGGTATTTTGCCTTTTTCCCTTTAATAAGATCCTGCTGGTTTTTATTTTATTGGTACAACATACCCGCCTTTTGACTCTATTAGCATATGGGAGTTTTTGTGATGCCCAGTTACTTCTTGTTGACTTAATTCCCAACAATCCTCATATACTTGTTTTGTACTCTTATCTTCACTATTTACATTAACCTGAGCCCAAAAGGCAAAATCTAACAATTTTATCCTTAAATTTATAGGCATTTCTCCGGTTGCTATGTGAAGCACACAAAGGAGTCGTAATACTTGCACCACATACAATTCACAGAGCTTGGGCTTGGATCAGCTTTCTTTTCTTGTGTGTGCTGATTTAGAAGCTGAATTCTAAAGGCTTAGCATCCATAATATATAACTGGTCTTTTTAATGTCCTATATAGCAATAACAATGTGTTCTTATCTGCACCTCAATTATTCCCAGAAGATTCATCCTACCTTTACATTTAGTCTTGATATTATCTATATGACCTTTTCAAGTTAGTTTATCATCTAACATAACTCCTAAAAATGTAATATTTTGAACTACCTGTATTCTTTCTGTATAGAGATATAGCTTTCATTCTTTCCCAAACTTCCTTGTTGTGAAGTTCATTCCCTTTGCTTTAGCAAGTGAACTTAAATCCCCAAGTATCTCCACATTCTGAAATTCCCGAACGCCTCTTTCATTGTCTCCACTGCTATCTTAAGTCTTCTATGCTTGGCCCATATAACACCATCATCAGCAAATAGAGTAATACCTATTCCTGCCCATATATTCTCCGGGACATCATTAATCGTAATGTTAAATAGGGTTGGGCTGATAATGCTCCCCTGTGCGCTGCCGTTAGTAAGTTTATAAATATTTTAAAAAGCCACCACCACCCTGACTTGTATGGTTCTATCACTTAAGAAATCTCTTATCCATCAGAACATTCTTCTTTTTATTCCAGTTGCGGCTAGCGTATACAGCAAGCCTTCCCTCCATACCATGTAAGATGCTTTTTCAATGTCCAAAAAACTGTCAAACTCTCTGTTCCTCATGGTTTTTTGTATTTCTGTTTCTAATCTTACAGTATGATCAGCTGTGCATCTTACTTTCCTGAAACCATTTTGTACACAATTTATTTCTTTTTTTTCCCAAGTATGCTACAATTCTCTAATTTATCATTTTGCCCACACACGATGTGAGGGCAATAGGTCTATACGCATCAGGTACTGTGCGTAATTTACCATGTTTTGCTTGTTGCCAATAGTATTCCTTTTCCCCATGTATTATTATATAATTTCAGTAAAACTCTTAAACTCCCTTCTGATAGGTGCTTAAGCATTTCATTACATATACTATCTTTACCTGGGACTGTTTTTACTTTTGTCTATAGCTTTTTTGAGTTCCTATATGCCAGTGATTCTCAAACTTTTGTACTGGTGACCCCTTTCACACAGCACACCTCTGAGTGTGACCCTGCCCCCATATAAATTAAAAAAACACTTTTTTGTATATTTAACACCATTATAAATGCTAGAGGCAAAGCAAGGTTTGGGGTGGAGGCTGACATCTCATAACCCCCCACATAATAACCTCACAACCCCAGTTTGAGAACCCCTCTATATGCTGACATTTTCATTCAATATGTTATCTTTATATTCTACTCAGCCATGTAAGAATACATCCATCCATCTCTGCTCCGTATTCTTTGGATACAAATTCTTCTATTCCTTTTTCTTCTTCCTAATCTGAAGCAATTCCTCACCCATTATTTCTTCTCCCTCGTTTTCCAACATAACTTCCAGCCTTTCACTTTCAGTCTGTATTTCCAGCTCTGGTCAGCCACCAGCCCAAACTGCCCCTGAGTTCCAAGCCCAGCTCTCAGTCTGTCCCATGCTGTTCCTTAGCTCTGCCTTTTTTACTGCTTGCGTTCTACTCAGAGCTACCCAGCTGGTGAGCTAATTTCCTCATTAGCTCCTCAGGTTTTCTACAGGTGCAAGTGATCTCTTCTGCCCTTTCAAACCCAAACTAAGTCCCTCCTACTCTGAGGGCTTGGCTACACTATAGGTTATGTTGATATAACTTATGTAAGCTACACCAGCCTAAGCACTAATATGGACAGTTCTATGTCAGTGGGAGAGCTTCTCCCACGGAAATAGCTGCTCCCTTTATGGAGGTGGTTTTATTATGCCAATGGGAGAGCTCTCTCCTGTCAGCATATAGCCTCTTCACCAGACATGCTACAGCGATGCAGCTGCATCAGTGCAACTGCGCCGCTGGAGCGCGTCTAGTGTAGACTAGCCCTAACTAGAAGGTATTCTCTATAGGTAGAGAATAGAAGGTAACTAGAATATAGGTAACTATATATATATATATTCTAGTTACCTATATAGAATATAGGTAACTAGAAGGTATTCTCTATAAATCACCTGTGGTTTCTCTCTGCTTTCAATGTTTTTTCTGAATTCAGTGCTCATGAAAGATGCTAGAGTGTAGTTTTCAGGTATGTCACCTTGCTGTATATCCACTGAACATGTACAATGCAGGCAATGGATATGCTATTTTCATCACTTTGCCTCACCAGTATGCCACAACCATAACCAGGCACGCCCATTTCTAGGGGGGCCAGAATGGTTGTTACTATGTTCAATTCAGTCCTTTGCTTCTGTTGAGACTGCCAGTGGTGGTGGGTTTTGTGATGTGAACACTTCTCCACAGGGATATAGACTGAGAGCATCAAAAGAGAGGACAGATCAGATCCCCCAAGAATCACATGTAGAGGAGTGCTCCACCATGGAAGGAAGGCTCTGGCACCTCCAAAGCACCATTTCCTCTCCCTCCCTGACTTTCCAGACCTCTTCTCCACATGATCTGGGGTCTTTGTGAGAGAGAGGATGGAATTTGGGAAGGGGCAGACCAGTGGTGGAAACATTAAAGCCGCCGTCCTAGCCCGGAAGAATTTCCTTGAAAGAGTTAATACCACCCTAGACTAGTCACTATTTTGCATAACACGCCCTCCACCATTCCCAGAACACACTGGGGTCCCTGCGAGCCACTTGAAGCCAAAAGGGAGTCCCTGGTAGCATGGCTCCAGTGGCAGCTCACTACCAGGGAGGTGAGGGGTATGGGGAAAGACCATGCCAGGGAGTTCAGAACCTCTATATCAGGGTTAGGCAACCTATAGCACATGTGCCAAAGGGAGCCCGCAAGCTGATTTTCAGTGGCACTCACACTGCCCGGGTCCTGGCCACCGGTCCAGAGGGCTCTGCATTTTAATTTAATTTTAAATGAAGCTTCTTAAACATTTTAAAAACCTTATCTACTTTACATACAACAATAGTTTAGTTATATATTAAAGACTTACAGAAAGAGACCTTCTAAAAACGTTAAAATGTATTACTGGCAAGCAAAACCTTAAATTAGAGTGAATAAAGGAAGACTTGGCATACCACTTCTTAAAGGTTGCCGACCCCTGCTCTATATGGATGTATCCTGCAGATTTCAGGATATCTGCCCTGTTTGGGGCAGCTTTTCTGTGGTGGAAGGAATAAAACCATACTATCTAGATGCTACAGGGGATTCTCCATGAGGAAATCCTTGTGGTCTTCTTTTTAAAAAGTTCCTTCCCAAAATTTTTGCCACAGGAGAAGATAATCTGAGCTCTGGCTACAGAATGAGCCCTCTAAATGTAACAATTTAAATTTACTACTGAGCAGTGGCCTAGAAGTGAAATCCTTGTTTACAGATGGCATTAGAAATCCTGGCCCATATGGAAGATTGCATCTATCATAAATTAAGTTAATAAAACAAATATATTTAATTGGTAAGTTCATATAACTATGTGGGTAGGGCCCAGACCTGCATCTCATGTGAGTTTTGTTTGAGAAAAGACTACAGGACTGAATCATAGTTCAGTAAATTCGACTTTAAACCAGTTATCGTAACTACTGTGACCAAAGAGGAAGTTTTTGTTAAACTACATAGGAGAATGATTAACATTGATTCTATGCTGTGAATACAGTTTACTTTTAGTATTTAAAACCAGAAATAGTAAATGCCTTTAACTTACCTAGAATATTTCTTGGGTGGCCTCATTGAGCACTGCTAAATCCAACACAAATACCCCCATTCTCCATTGCCACCAAGTCATCCAAGTCATTTGGGCCAGAAGCTGACCAGTCTTTCTGCACAACACCATACACTTTGAAATGTGCAATCCCACCATCTGTCAAAAAATAAAATTAAAGTGAATGATTTTTATCTTTAAGAATGAATAGAACCATGAGGGCCATGCTTATACATATTCAGATGCAGTGTACAGCACAGATGGCAAATGCAAGATATACTGTACTTTCCTTTTAATGTACAGACACTGGAATAAAAGGAAAGGGTTTGGATTTCAGTGTGGAAGCTGATCATGACACGTTTCCACACTGGGGTTCTTCAATTTATTATGTCATTAATAAACATCAAGGCCAGAAGGATATCCATGATACATGTCAGTGCACTAATAATCCCAGTGCAGTAGTATCTGAGAATACTGTCAAACCCTTTAAACCATTGTGTAGAGTTTATAAAATTTTATAAAATTCACACTGAGAATCAAAGAGCAAAACTGATAGAAGGATCAAACAAGCTTTATAACAACACAGTTCTGGATATATTTGTGCATTCTAGATATACTCGGTCCTGCCTCAGTGTGGTGGGAATGGATTAGATGATCTCTTGAGATTCCTTCCAGCCTGACATTTCTATGATTGCTCCAAAGTTTCTTCTAGGAGTATGCCTTCTCACGAGCATTTCAGAAATTTGTTAAAAAGCAAAATATTATTTTAAATTCCATTTGAACAGTTTATTACAAAAGAAGCTGCTGTTATACAGTGCATCCTTTATCCAGATGTATACTAATGCATTAGGAAATTTAAATCAGGCAACTGTCATGACTGTGGATTGGGTAGTCATGCCTACTGGTCGGAGCAGTGATGGTCAGAGGCCAGGAACAGCACCAAAGATCAGAGCTAGAGTCAGGAACCAGGAGTCCAAGATCAAGAGGGGCAGGCCCAACACTACAACTGGCAGTGGCAATAGAGTCCAATTCCTGGAACTTCTCCTGGGCTTAAACAGGGTGTCTGGACCAATCAGGGGCCACAAATGAAGCTGTGTTTCTGAGATGGTACTTCTTGTGGTGTTTATCTCCACAGGAGCTACACAACCGTGTGCATGGCTGCCGGCAGTGGTGTATATATTTTTTAAATTGAACTCACCAAAAAACTAATTAAACTCACAAATTTGGAAATCCCAAGATATGCACATAACAGAAAGAGGCTTCTCTGGCTGACCTCTGGTCCCTCGTAATTGCCGCAGGAAGGCCCCATTCTGACTGGCAATGAGCTTTCTGCTCCAAGCCACCAACTTTTATGTGCAGAGCTACTTTTTCTGTCTCCCTGTTCTGTTCCATCCTCAGCCACTTTCTCTCCCCTGTTCACCCCATACTGCTTCCTGTGCATGCTTCACACACAAATACATAAGTGAGATCAGCATCAGGGGGAGGCAGGGAAATGAAGGAAAGAAGGCTGGGAGAAAACAGGTTGTTCCTACCAGAAACAACAGTGTTAGCCAGGACTGACATTGCTCAGGAGGCCTGGTCTGGCACCTCCTCCATCTCAGGTCCTCCTTCCTTCACAGTCTAGCGCTCTGGCCCTGGAAAACTGCCAGACCCCTGAAGGTATTAAACTGCTCGGGACGGGCTAGTTTCCTAAGGACTGAAGTCCATCTCACATAATTACAATCACCTTTGGATCACTAAATGCAATCCAATGGTCACAGAGAGGGTTATGTGCCTAAAATAGATTTCCACTATTTCCCTGTTAGCTGATGTGTTCATTTTGGAGCTATTCACTATCAATTGTCTGAGGCAGGGTTGCCTGATCCTGTGACCCAAAGATAAAGAAACCTCAGCATATTTAAGGCAAAAAAGACCCAAGCCTAAAACATTAGCATTCATTGCACGAGGAGCCCAGCATTTGGGGGTACATTTCCTTGCTTTTCTGCTGATTTCTAGAATTGTCAGATCTTGCTGCATTCACTTTGAATTTCACAGGACATTTTCTAGTTCTGAACCCCAAAACACCAAGTGAACTTGACTTAGTAAATGTAAATGTAAGCGACTGACTTAGAATCATGAACCCCATGTGTTGGAGGGTTCAGGAACACAGTCTAGTCCCCAGAGCACAAGGGGCGAACTCCAGATGCCTTTTGAACACCTGTGTAAAAGGAAGGGCTGCTAGAGAGAAAGAGGAAGGGAAGAAGAGAAGAGGATAATATTTGGAGGAAGTCAGGGCTCCCTACCTAGACTCTGAAGGTTAGGCTAATCTCTAGGCTGGGAAAAATTTGGTTTGTAACCCTTTTGCTTTTGTTAACTTGTTTGCTTTGTATTTATAAAGATTATGCCCTGCTAAAAGACTTTACTGCCTATTGTCGTGTCTTGTTTCTGCTTGATCATCCCACTAGCCAACCAAAAGCAGCAAAAACCTAATCCTCATACCAAGCCTTATACCTAGCCCAGCACTTTCCTAGTTACTTTATTTCAAAGTACTTGCTCTCTTCCTGTTCCGATGGCAGCAGTACGTGAGATTGGATAGACACAGAACCAGCCAAGAAGTTGTTAAATACCACAGTTCATGAGTCTCTCTCTCTCTCTCTCTCTCTGTATATATATATATATATATATATATATATATATATACATACATACACACACACACACTACATAATATATATTACCTGGATATATAAAAATCAATTACCTGGATAGATATTGAGCCTTATGTGAGTCCATTCTCTCTTACAGCTGGCAGAAAAATAATTGTGGCTAGTATCAAGGTATCTTGGTTTCAACTCTTTCATAGGAACCAGAAGAGTCCATTCATCTGACAACAAATATTAATTAATTAGTTGTCTGGGTCAACGTGACGGATATTCTTCTTTAGTCCATATGTTTATTAATTAGAATTAATATATCCCAGTATGTTCTGATATATTTGAGCCCTTATTTCTCTACCCCATACTTGCTAGAATTCCTTTATTAATCACCTGTGTTTTACAGGTAGGGTTGGGATGGTATTTGCATTCTAAGCCCCAGTGTTCAGCAGCTTATACAGTTCCAAAATAAGTACCTTTGAGTTGAACTTTCAAAGAAATCCATCTGTCATCTAAGAAAGTTTGAAATAAACCATCCATTTTTGAGGACTGACCATTCAAATGAAAGTGGGGTGTTCTTTGATTAAATGTGTAGGGAAGTACTTTTTATTTTCCCAATTTTTTATTTACAAATAAATAAATACATGATGCTAATATAATGTCAAAACTAAGATTTTCATTGCAAAACAAAAATTAAATAAAGAGTTAAGGGGCTATATTCTGCTCTCAGTTACATTTGGTGTCAGTCTGAAGTAACTCTATTGGGGGTGACTTTTGATTTACACTAGTGTAAATCTAGTATATATTCCTAGAACAACCTTCAATCCATATGTAATGCAATACAGACTTTATGGGTCTGATTCTGCAGTCCTTACTCAGGCAAATATCCCACAGCATTCAAGGAGGGAAGAATGGATGATCTTGTGGTTTGGAGTCAGGAAATTGATTTTTATTCCCAGGTCTTCCACAGATTTCCTATGTGACCTGTACAAGACCATTTTCAAAAGTGCCTTAAGTTTGGGTACCCAGCTTAATATATTTAAAGTATCTAAAGCCTGGCGCCTCAAAATGGAGGCATCCAACACGAGGCCACAGGTAAGCAAGATTCATTGGAACAAACTGGAATTAAATGAAGAAAAGCCTTGTACAGGACAACAAAACTGTCATGGCAATTAGATACGTCACATTAATGGCCTGTTTATTTTTTTAAAACATAATAAGTGACTTGAGAACTCTTGAAAGGTGCCAGCCCTGAGAAATGAAGTCCTGTACTCAATACAGAGGTACAGCACCGGCATGCAAACTTCCCTAGGTTGTCCTACAGATATGTCTCAACACCATTTTGAAGGTGCTCCCTCTAAGTGTGAAAAGATAATTCAGTGTCCATGCCCACTAAATTGTTGTCCTCTTTGATGACGCTGCCAAAGTAAATATGCTCATTAAAGCCATCAGCACAATTGGTATTATGGGCACCTGCTCACAAGGATCTGGATTCAGACCAACACTCATTCTAATAATAGATCTCTGAAAAGCCATCACAGTTCAACATTAACTCAGAATCAAATTAGGCCTAATTCAAACTATGGTCTAGAAGTAAAAGCTTCTGTATCCCATTAGAATCCCAAGAACCGGCCAGCCTCCAACATCATATACCTTCCTGACAGCTTTTAACTCTTCATCTGAAGCTGCAGTTCCTATCCTGTCCCCTCTTGGCCAAAACTCTGGTAAATCCACCGCAGGAGTAATATAAACACACACCCAGTCAGTAACTAGGGCTATTGAAATATTTTTGTTTTTAAATTAAAATATATAGAATGACAGAAGTAGTAAAAGCACTATTTGATCAGCTGAGTAATGCCATCGCAAGAAGCTGATCATTTTGTAGGAATACTTATTTTAGGTGGACCATGCCTATAAAAATATATTATGCTGGAAGTGTATTTGATATATTATTTCTACTAACAAAAACATTTTAGCTGAATTATTTCAATTTTTTTTGTTTTACAATAGCTCCGGTTCTTCTCTTGGAGCTAAATCCAGGCTCCTCTTCTGCAGCCCCAGCATGATCCCTGCCAGTGGAACCAGTGCAGTTCTGCTGTACAAAGGGATAGCTGTATAGAGGACAGTGGAGGAACATAGCAGGGATATGTAATATCAGCGCGGAACAGACCTCCTCGAGCAACCAGTATGGCACCAGGCAGGGAAAGGAGAAGATAGAGCCAGGGCAAGAAGGGGGAGAAATGATGCTTAAAGATTTACTCCTACATGGTTTTTCCCATCATTCACTGTGGAAAGGCCACATCCAGAGCCATGGATACACTTCATTCATTCTAATGGAGTAGTTCTTGAGCCATCTAAAGCCTGAGAAAGGTTGGTAGGATTTCTCCCATGGTACATCTGCTTGGCACCTAGCCTGACTACTCAGGCTGGTTTTTTGGACTCTGGATTTAGCCCTTTATGGAGAATTTTCTTTCCTTAAGAACTAAAAAATGTGTTGTTTCAGAGTAGCAGCCATGTTATTCTGTATTCGCAAAAAGAAAAGGAGTTCTTGTGGCACCTTAGAGACGAACCAATTTACTTGATCATAAGCTTTCGTGAGCTACAGCTCACTTCATCGGATGCATTCAGTGGAAAATACAGTGAGGAGATTTATATACACACAGAACATGAAAAAATGGGTGTTATCATACACACTGTAAGGAGAGTGATCACTTAAGATGAGTTATTACCAGCTGGAGAGCAGGGGTGGGAAAGAAAACCTTTTGTAGTGATAATCAAGTTGGGCCATTTCCAGCAGTTAACAGGAACGTCTGAGGAACGGTATGTGGGGGGGAATAAACATGGGGAAATAGTTTTACTTTGTGTAATGACACATCCACTCCCAGTCTCTATTCAAGCCTAAATTAATTGTATCCAGTTTGCAAATTAATTCCAATTCAGCAGTCTCTCGTTGGAGTCTGTTTTTGAAGTCTTTTTGTTGTAATATTGCAACCTTTAGGTCTGTAATCTAGTGACCAGAGAGATTGAAGTGTTCTCCGACTGGTTTATGAATGTTATAATTCTTGACATCTGATTTGTGTCCATTTATTTTTTTTATATAGAGACTGTCCAGTTTGACCAATGTACATGGCAGAGGAACATTGCTGGCACATGATGGCACGTATCATATTGGTAGATGCTCAGGTGAATGAGCCTCTGATAGCGTGGCTGATGTGATTAGGCCCTATGATGGTGTCCCCTGAATAGATATGTGGACACAGTTGGCAACGGGCTTTGTTGCAAGGATAGGTTCCTGGGTTAGTGGTTCTGTTGTGTGGTATGTGGTTGCTGGAGAGTATTTGCTTCAGGTTGGGGGGCTGCTGTAAGCAAGGACTGGCCTGTCTCCCAAGATTTGTGAGAGTGATGGGTCATCCTTCAGGATAGGTTGTAGATCCTTGATGATGTGTTGGAGAGGTTTTAGTTGGGGGCTGAAGGTGACCGCTAGTGGCGTTCTGTTATTTTCTTTGTTGGGCCTGTCCTGTAGCAGATGACTTCTGGCTCTGTCAATTTGTTTCTTCACTTCAGCAGGTGAGTATTGTAGTTGTAAGAATGCTTGATAGAGATCTTGTAGGTGTTTGTCTCTGTCTGAGGGGTTGGAGCAAATGCGGTTGTATCGTAGAGCTTGGCTGTAGACGATGGATCGTGTTGTGTGGTCTTGGTGAAAGCTGGAGGCATGTAGGTAGGAATAGTGGTCAGTAGCTTTCCGGTATAGGGTGATGTTTATGTGATCATCGCTTATTAGAACCGTAGTGTCCAGGAAGTGGATCTCTTGTGTGGACTGGTCCAGGCTGAGGTTGATGGTGGGATGGAAATTGTTGAAATCATGGTGGCATTCCTCAAGGGCTTCTTTTCCATGGGTCCAGATGATGAAGATGTCATCAATATAGCGCAAGTAGAGTAGAGGCGTTAGGGGACGAGAGCTGAGGAAGTGTTGTTCTTAGTCAGCCATAAAAATGTTGGCAGACTGTGGGGCCATGCGGGTACTCATAGCAATGCCGCTGATTTGAAGGTATACATTGTCCCCAAATGTGAAATATTTATGGGTGAGGACAAAGTCACAAAGTTCAGCCACCAAGTTTGTCGTGACATTATCAGGGATACTGTTCCTGACAGCTTGTAGTCCATCTATGTGTGGAATGTTGGTGTAGAGGGCTTCTACATCCATAGTGGCTAGGATGGTGTTTTCAGGAAGATCACCGATGGATTGTAGTTTCCTCAGGAAGTCAGTGGTGTCTTGAAGATAGCTGGGAGTGCTGGTAGCGTAGGGCCTGAGGAGGGAGTCTACACAGCCAGACAATCCTGCTGTCAGGGTACCAATGCCTGAGATGATGGGGCATCCAGGATTTCCAGGTTTATGGATCTTGAGTAGCAGATAGAATACCCCAGGTCGGGGCTCCAGGGGTGTGTCTGTGCAGATTTGTTCTTGTGCTTTTTCAGCAATTCTCTGAAATGTGTTTTGTTATTAAGCACACGCAACACCGTGGGGTAAGTGGTGTGAACTTGTGATATAAAACAATTGAAGCAACAGCTGTATTCCCCCATCATTCACAGCCTTGGTCGCCCAGCGTTACTGACACTGCGTTGCCAGAAGTGCTGTTTTCCCAAGGCGATATTTCCAGGAATTACATCACTCCAACTACTAACCATGCAATGCCTGAAATGTAACTATTTTAACTACCATAAGAAACAAATTATTGCACTTAACTTACCCCATAATAATAAGGCTCTAATATTAGCAATACAATGTAAAGAGAATCATAGAATCATAGAATATCAGGGTTGGAAGGGACCCCAGAAGGTCATCTAGTCCAACCCCCTGCTCGAAGCAGGACCAATTCCCAGTTAAATCATCCCAGCCAGGGCTTTGTCAAGCCTGACCTTAAAAACCTCTAAGGAAGGAGATTCTACCACCTCCCTAGGTAACGCATTCCAGTGTTTCACCACCCTCTTAGTGAAAAAGTTTTTCCTAATATCCAATCTAAACCTCCCCCACTGCAACTTGAGACCATTACTCCTCGTTCTGTCATCTGCTACAATTGAGAACAGTCTAGAGCCATCCTCTTTGGAACCCCCTTTCAGGTAGTTGAAAGCAGCTATCAAATCCCCCCTCATTCTTCTCTTCTGCAGGCTAAACAATCCCAGCTCCCTCAGCCTCTCCTCATAACTCTTGTGTTCCAGACCCCTAATCATTTTTGTTGCCCTTCGCTGGACTCTCTCCAATTTATCCACATCCTTCTTGAAGTGTGGGGCCCAAAACTGGACACAGTACTCCAGATGAGGCCTCACCAATGTCGAATAGAGGGGAACGATCACGTCCCTCGATCTGCTCGCTATGCCCCTACTTATACATCCCAAAATGCCATTGGCCTTCTTGGCAACAAGGGCACACTGCTGACTCATATCCAGCTTCTCGTCCACTATCACCCCTAGGTCCTTTTCCGCAGAACTGCTGCCTAGCCATTCGGTCCCTAGTCTGTAGCTGTGCATTGGGTTCTTCCGTCCTAAGTGCAGGACCCTGCACTTATCCTTATTGAACCTCATCAGATTTCTTTTGGCCCAATCCTCCAATTTGTCTAGGTCCCTCTGTATCCTATCTCTCCCCTCCAGCGTATCTACCACTCCTCCCAGTTTAGTATCATCCGCAAATTTGCTGAGAGTGCAATCCACACCATCCTCCAGATCATTTATGAAGATATTGAACAAAACCAGCCCCAGGACCGACCCTTGGGGCACTCCACTTGATACCGGCTGCCAACTAGACATGGAGCCATTGATCACTACCCGTTGAGCCCGACAATCTAGCCAGCTTTCTACCCACCTTATAGTGCATTCATCCAGCCCATACTTCCTTAACTTGCTGACAAGAATACTGTGGGAGACCGTGTCAAAAGCTTTGCTAAAGTCAAGAAACAATACATCCACTGCTTTCCCTTCATCCACAGAACCAGTAATCTCATCATAAAAGGCGATTAGATTAGTCAGGCATGACCTTCCCTTGGTGAATCCATGCTGGCTGTTCCTGATCACTTTCCTCTCATGCAAGTGCTTCAGGATTGATTCTTTGAGGACCTGCTCCATGATTTTTCCAGGGACTGAGGTGAGGCTGACTGGCCTGTAGTTCCCAGGATCCTCCTTCTTCCCTTTTTTAAAGATTGGCACTACATTAGCCTTTTTCCAGTCATCCGGGACTTCCCCCGTTCGCCACGAGTTTTCAAAGATAATGGCCAATGGCTCTGCAATCACAGCCGCCAATTCCTTCAGCACTCTCGGATGCAACTCTTCCGGCCCCATGGACTTGTGCACGTCCAGCTTTTCTAAATAGTCCCTAACCACCTCTATCTCCACAGAGGGCTGGCCATCTCTTCCCCATTTTGCGATGCCCAGCGCAGCAGTCTGGGAGCTGACCTTGTTAGTGAAAACAGAGGCAAAAAAAGCATTGAGTACATTAGCTTTTTCCACATCCTCTGTCACTAGGTTGCCTCCCTCATTCAGTAAGGGGCCCACACTTTCCTTGGCTTTCTTCTTGTTGCCAACATACCTGAAGAAACCCTTCTTGTTACTCTTGACATCTCTGGCTAGCTGCAGCTCCAGGTGCGATTTGGCCCTCCTGATAACATTCCTACATGCCCGAGCAATATTTTTATACTCTTCCCTGGTCATATGTCCAACCTTCCACTTCTTGTAAGCTTCTTTTTTATGTTTAAGATCCGCTAGGATTTCACCATTAAGCCAAGCTGGTTGCCTGCCATATTTACTATTCTTTCGACTCATCGGGATGGTTTGTCCCTGTAACCTCAACAGGGATTCCTTGAAATACAGCCAGCTCTCCTGGACTCCTTTCCCCTTCAAGTTAGTCCCCCAGGGGATCCTGGCCATCCGTTCCCTGAGGGAGTCGAAGTCTGCTTTCCTGAAGTCCAGGGTTCGTATCCTGCTGCTTACCTTTCTTCCCTGCGTCAGGATCCTGAACTCAACCAACTCATGGTCACTGCCTCCCAGATTCCCATCCACTTTTGCTTCCCCCACTAATTCTACCCAGTTTGTGAGCAGCAGGTCAAGAAAAGCGCCCCCCCTAGTTGGCTCCTCTAGCACTTGCGCCAGGAAATTGTCCCCTACGCTTTCCAAAAACTTCCTGGATTGTCTATGCACCGCTGTATTGCTCTCCCAGCTACAACACATTCTAATTTATTTTTGAAGGAATTTGCATGTAATCAAAACCTGAAGAACTCCATAAAGACACTAAGCATACTTGACAAAACATGAATAGTACCAAATTGCTGATTGTTATAGTGGCATTTTGAAGAGCATTAGATGTTTGGATTTTAAAAAGGTGTGTGGTTTCCTAAGGCCTTGGACAGAAAATCAAAGGATAGGTCAACAACTCTTTAAGAAAGAATTATTCCAAACTTGGCTATCTGGTTGCCTTTTCTCAAAATGTGGCAATGTGCGTGTATTTGGGAGAAAAGATGAGCTCACACCACAGAATTTGAATTCAGGTCTGGATTTCAAAACCCCAGAATTTTGAGTGTGCTCATACCTGGGAGTTTGGTTCACACCATTATAAAATAGAAGACATTTTAAAAATTCAGACAAAGACCTAAGTCTGGATTTTGAATACATCTAAGTTTAGGGGTATTTGGATCCAGCATTTTGGTTTGGGTCCATCTCTATTTTGGAATGAGCAATGACAGGTTTAGGAGTCTCCCCAAATCACTACAAGTGTATATACAGTACTTGGACTTCAAATAAAAACAAAACACAAAAGAGCAGGTCTTGACAACAAGAGCCACCACAGAATGGATACTTAAAGCACAAAAAGAACTCAAACTCCCAGGAAGTTTGTAAGCAGTTTCTGGAGCTTTTTCAGTATGCATTAAACTCATGAATTTATCTACTGGTTAAACTCTTGCCATTCAGTATGACTGTGCAAAAATTGAAGGTCTGGATTCCTATAGATTGGATGAACCCAAGCCAGTAGTTTTAGTCCATGTGGTGGTTCACACTGTGAAAGATTCATTTGGCGTTTCTGGTTCATTCAGTCCCAACAACTCCAAACTCACCACTCTCAAAACTGGAAGGCTTCATAATGATGTCAGTCAATTTCCTCTCCTCTTCCCACCTCTTCTGCAAATCCTCTACTGTTACTATTTATTAAGTGACTAATCTTAAGCGTATTACCTGGAACCTTTTTCCTCCTTGTCTCCCATCCATCCATCTGCCATAATCAGTCAATTCATCTGGTTTAAAAACTGGACTCTTTTTCTAAAAAAATAAATAAGAACAGGCCATATTCTCTCCTCACTTACACCAATACAATTCCACTAAGCTTAGCGTATTGAGCACAGAATTTTGACCAGCATAGAACATGCAGGTTTCAAGCCGCTTGACTGATTTTATTAGTAAAGGAGCATATAGGTCTCATTCTTGTCTCTAGAAAAATATCAGATGCATCAAATAATGAATTTATACTGATCTACTTCAACTGAGGAGCTGGACTTCCATGTGCCAGTTTTTTTTCTTTCAGTTACATATATGGTATCAATCCAGAGTAACCCCACCGATATCAGAGAGATTTTTGCATGTGTAATGACCGTAGGAACAGTTTGCTAACTGTTTTTGTATTTTAAATGGAAGTATTTGAAAGTCGTCATAAATTCTAATCAAAGCTAAAATGTATTTTAAAGTTGCTTCCTCAAAAGAGGTGCAGTCAGAGGAAGAATGTGTGCAAAGAAAATTTGTTAACCTAACTCGTTTTAAGATGGAGCTTGAAAGATGTATGAACAGGATTATAGGGCAGGGTTGTCATCAAAAAGCAGGGAACTGGACTCTGGGACATAGGAGGTCCCTTCCACTCTTCAGTTCCTATGTTCCTAAATGTTTGTGCTATTATTTACTAGGAGATTAAAGGAAATGGTAGTTGAGGCAGGGGGAGAGGGGAAATCCCACTTGATTCATTGAAATAGTTTCCACTGTACTGTAATGCCTGAATTCTGATTACACCTGGGTACCTTTCAGAAGTTATTATTACAGTAGTAATGAGACAGCAGTTGAAATAAATCAGTAATCAAGAATCAAAAAGTTTGGTAATCATAAACAAGACTGTACAAATGTTTCTTTTATCAAAAGTAGCAAGAGCCACCTGTCACAATGAAGATGTCAGAGAGGTAATAGGGGCCACCACCCTTCATTATTACCAACTGGCTCATTGTACAGCTACCTTACCGTCACTTTGCACAAGTGTAAATGACTCCATAATGGAAAAGACAATGCAGAACCAGATCCTTTGTTTCTGGTTGCCTACAAGCTATAATATTAAGCCTAGTGTTTTGGGGCATGTGACCGCGCACTATTAGTAGCATCTTGGTCACTGAGGTTGCTCCAGCAGTGAGAAGAGTACGGGCTTAATTGAAACCAATTAAGCCATTTCCTTTGGGGATCACTGACAATTGGGTGGCGATTGCTAGGCTAATGGGGCAATTGGCTCAGTAATTGGGAGGATATTAGTGGGCGGAACATAGCATTCAGAGGGTGAGCCTGGGCTGAGGAGTGAAGGTTGTGTGGAATCCTCTACTTGCTGTAACCCTGCACTACCCTGTGATACTTTGTAAGGAAAGAATAAATACACATGCGGTGAACGTGTGAGGGGTGTTTGTGATTGAGACACCACACGGACTGCCCAGGCAGTGCACTACATGGGGTAGTGACTGAGGTGCCCTGAAACAGGGAGGTATCTGGCCCTTCTTTTATGCTCCAAACAAAAATGCACATGCAAACATTCCTTCTTTTTCATGTCTAGTACTGGTCAGATGTTTTCTTGTGGAAAATTCTGTTCTGTGGAATTGACGTATTCCTATGGAATGTGTCCATTCTGTCATAATGTTTGATGGAAGCCAGGCATCTGGTTTCCTGCCAGCATGCCCACCCACTGCCTGCCTCCCTGGGCTCCCCACCAGCTGCTTGGCAGGCTGCCTGGTAGGATATTGGAGAGCCTAGGGTCCCTCCGGCTCCCTAGGCTGCCCAGCTTCTCACCTGGCAGGCATCCACTGCACAGCCAGGGAAGCCAGACAGACAGCCCAGCTCCCCAGGGTGGCCAGCTTTCTGGGCTCAGGCTCTCCAGCAGCCCACCAAGTGAGATGTTGAGGAGCAAGGGCTGCCAGGGTCACTAGGCTAGCCTGTTCCAGGCTCCCCAGCTCCCAGCCTGCTAAGGGAGCTGAGTGGTCTGGCAGCCAGCTCTATGGGCTACTCAGAAAGCTTGGTGGCCCACTTCCGGCCTTGCTAGCTTCCTGGCTCTAAGGGGTACTTGGGGAGCCACTGGCCATCTCCCTGATTAGCTGGCTTCTGTGGGGTGGCCAGGTCCCTGTTACCTAGCAGCCCACCTGGCTTACTCCCCAGCAGGCCTGATTTCCAGGCTCCCGAGACAGCCTGTTCCCAGGCTGCCCAGCTGCCTGCTAGTCACTTCCCCAGGCTCCCAGGGAAGCCAGCCAGCCAGGGAGCCTGACAGGCAGGCAGCCAGCAAGCCAAAAACCTCCATTTTGGTTCTCCCAAAACTGAATGTTTCTGGAAATTCCTTCCTGCACAAAATTTCAATTTTTTTAACATTTTGTTCTGGTCTGGTTAAAAAAAAACAAAATTCAAGCATATATAGTCTTTCCTGGGAAGGAATTTCCATTTTTCAGCCAGCTATATTCATGTTGTTAACACTGGGCTTGTTCTTGGGCCTTGTTGTGGTTTTATTCATGGTTTTTGCTTGGTGCATCCCTCAAGTTTCTCAATCTCTAAGGGTATGTCCCCGGCTTGAGGAGACATACCTGCACCTGCACTGATCGAGCTAGCACACTAAAAATAGAGTGTAGCTGTGGTGGTGCAAGTGGTGGGAGGGGCTAGCCACACTAGCATCTCTGACAGGATTGTACTCAGCAGGGGGGCACTAGCTCCTCATGCTGCTCCAATCTCCACAACTACAATCTATTTTTAATGCACTAGCTCAGGGGTTTTCAACCTGTGGTCCATGGATCCCCGGGGGTCTGAAGACTATGTCTAAGGGGTCTGTGATATGTTGTCGTTACCACAGAACTGTGGTTTTCAATAACCCGTGGTCCGTGGATTTTGGGGGGTCCGTAGACTATGTCTAAGATTTTCAAAGGTGTCCACACCTCCATTCAAAAAATTTTAAGGGTCCATAAATGAAATAAGGTTGAATACCTCGACAATAGTTTGATCACAGTTGGACTGGGTATTTGTCCTCAACCTCCCCTTCTCAAAGTGTAGATATATCTTAGGGGTGAGACTCCTGCCTGGATGGCATCTTTAGAGAAAGAAAAATCTCCTACCTAGTAATTCTGCTTCTCAGAAGATTTTATCATTTAGGATTCACATTCATCCACCCACCCCCTCAAAGTTTGAAGGGAAGCCTATTTATTTTTATTTATTTGTATTGCACTAGCTCCTATTGTGCTTGGCACTGTACAAACACACCGTAAAAAGGTAGTCACTACCCCAAACAGCAATCCAGGTTAACGACAAGAGGCAAGAGTTGGACGAAACCAGCTAATGGGTGGGATGCAAAAGATGAAGTAGCAATGGGAAGTACTCCACATAACGCACAGACAACTTGTGGAACATATTGCCAGGAGAAGTTTTAAAGGCCAAAAGTATAACAGGGTTCAAAAAAGAATTAGACAAGTTCATGGAGCATAGGTCCATCAATGGCTATTAGCCAACAAATTCAAGGATGCAACGCCGTGCTCTGGGTGTCCCTAAATCTCTAACTGTCAGAAGGTGGGACTGGATAACAGGGGATGGATCTCTCAATAATTGCCCTGTTCTGTTCTTTCCCTCCAAAGCTTCTGGCACCAGCCACTGTCAGAAGACAGGATACGGGGCTATATAGACTGTTGGTTTGATGCAGCCTGGCCATTCTTATGTTCTCATAATAATGCAAGCATGTTTTTGCATAATCACAATGGGGTTTGCTTCCTGCACAGACATCTCCAGCTAGTGGTGTTTATCTCTACATCTTGATCGGTTTGTATTGTGCTGCATTTCAGAGGCATTAATTTTTCAATGATTGGCTTGATACTATTTGGTGAGCTTTTACTTCTTGCTAATTCAGGATGTGACTGGAAGGTTCTAGGGATTACAGTTATATTCCACACACAAGCACCATTGGGGACCAAGGAGGTCTTGTGCTTCTACCCACTCCCACGGCCCTTAGACAACTAAGGAAGTTCTGCCTGTCTCAACTAGGGAGCCAAGAACAAGAATCTTGCAAAGGGAGAAGCATAATTACAAGGTAAGTAATTTCCAGTAAAGACAATGGTAGCAGCAGCGGTGGCCGGGAGCCCTGGGCCCTTTTAAATCGCTGGCCCCAGGGCAGCTGCCCCTTTTCCCCCTGTTGGCAGCCCTGGTGGTAGGGTCCCTACCGGAAGGGCCACCAACAGGGGGGTCATCAACGTTCAAGTGCTGCTGCAGCAGTGCTTTAATATCGGTTGGGTACAGGCCAGTACTGCCTTCTTACCAGTACGCCGTACCAGCCCGTACCAGCCCACTTTCACCCCTGGCTCCGGGACTTGCTTGTTCTTAGCTCTGTCTCACTCCAAGTAACCCAACTCTGACCCTCTCCTCTGACGCCTCACTTCTGTCTTTGGCTGTGACCCTAGGTTCTGACAGCTGACTCCCGCTCTAACCACTAGGTATGACTGCCCACGTCCTGGTCTCTGACAGTAAGTTACAGTCCCTGCCTCTGAAGCCTAAAATCTTAACAGTCCAGGCATACCCTCCAAAGTGGGGAATGTCAGCCTACTATACCTTCCAGAGATTCTCCGCAGGAGCAAAAAAGTCGTCCGTTGCAAATAAAACCTACACAAATAAAAAAAATAAAAATAAAATAATTTTAAATATGTACTATTTTATTTCATTTCATTTCCTAGTGCAATGTTAAGTTATCCAGTAAAAAGAAAATATTAAGTTGCCTAAAGGCTTATAGACATATACATATAAGACCATATTTTAAAAAAAAAATTATTTCTTTGTATGCATTTCTCTTTCCAATACTCCAATGAACCTGCATAGAACCCCACTGAATTCAATTGTTTGTTTGAGGATCGGGACCTTACTCTTCTTTCTCCATCTTTGTATGCATTTCTCTTTCCAATACTGTACTCCAATGAACCTGCACAGAACCCCATTGAGTTCAATTTTGTTTGCTTGAGGATCAGAGCCTTACTCTTCTTTCCGCATCTTTATTTACAAAAAATTTACCTACTGCTGTGACATAGGGAAGGGTTTGTTTCATTTTCTTTGTAAATAACTCATGATGCGTACACCTGAAAAACCTCCACCTTCGTGAGTGGTTCTTCAGACTAGAAGCATTGCTATAAGGATTCATATGACATGATGCAGAAAAAACAAGTGGACAAAATATCTTTTTAATCACAAACCAGGCCACACCTGGCCTTCCACTCAGGATTCTTATCTCCCCATAGCTGCAGGACAAGAAGCCCTGTTCGTGGAGGTATACTACTAGTACCTCCATCAATGAGATACAATCCTATATTTGTGAATATGTATTTCTGTTTTGTACATACATATGCTAAACTGAACAATCTTAAGGACATGGTTCATTTTACAGCAGAGCACTTTTTTCTTTAACCTTCATGCAGTATTGAGAAAAAAGTTACATTAACTATATTGTGGGGGACTTTTGTCCCCCAAATGCATTCAGAAACTAAGAATAATTCTTTAATGTTTTAGGTGAAAAATCTTTATTTAACGAGCAAATTGAAAGAACTAGCTGGAGTCTCATTCAGTGTGAGTCAGTATACAATTTTTACACGTCAGCATCAGTATGGAGTTGTCAGAGCATACAAATTCACTGCATTCTCCACATTGCTTGTCCTTCCGATCAGCTGACCTTAGGCAAATTTAGCAGAGTCCACTGCTGAGTTTGCTAGGTGCTCCCGTGGTGGCTGTTTTTTGATGGTAGCCAAGGGATGAGAGTGCTGCTTTGATCGGGATGGTGAGATGTTGTGTGTGAAGGATTCTTCTCTTTATATGTGCATCTACAAGTCATTCTCCTCGAGTGACAAGGAACAAGAGCCTTCTTTGTCTTGGGCAAGTGTGGCGCCAAGCAGGATTGTCACTGACCTAAGTGATGAAACTTGCAATGCCAGCAACATCAAGCATGTTGAAGAAAAGAACCATTGGTCACCTATTTGTCTTGCATCTGTACGAAGTACATTTCTGCAAGATGGTCATTGTTATCGACACCACTTTTGTCACTCTACTGGAGAATTATGTGGGCTTTCTTTTTTGTCTCCTTCTATAACCTTGTCGTAATGCATCATCAATAGCATTATTACTGACTTGCCCTTCTTTGGAGCATAGGAAGCCAGGACCCAGAAAACCCAAACACGATGACAATTTTCTCTGTTGCAAAGTGGATGTATATCATTGGGTATATCTAGCTCCTTTCATCGGATTGCTCCAACATAGGTAAAAATTGTGTTGACTAGATCTTCAGAATTTGAACACTAGGAAAGACTGTGTTCAGATTATAAAACTGCAAATTAAGACTTGTGGGTTCTATTCCTGGCTCTGCCAAAGACTTCCTGTGTGACCTTTGGCAAATCTCTTAATTTCTCTGTGTCTCCTTTTTCCCGTCTGTAAAATGTGGATAATAATACTTAGCACACAGGAATGTTGAGAGACTTAATTCATTGGTGTCTGCAAAACACTTTTAGATCCTCAGTAGGAAATAGCTGTAGAAATGTCAAGTATAATCTGCGCTAAAAGAACAATTTGTGTTTTGAATTGCATACATTTACCTTTCCTCCTACAGCTTCACACGCCAAATCATTCCGGTGGAGAAAGTCAGGTCAAACGTGAGGTTTTTCTCCTTTGAGATGAGCAGCCATCTTTCCTCTAAAAGCAGAAGTGAAGTATTCTATTCGAAGATGAAACGAGAGAAATGAGAAGGAGCATGTTCAGCATAACTTCTCATTTCATTGCAAAAAGAAAAGGAGTACTTGTGGCACCTTAGAGACTAACCAATTTATTTGAGCATGAGCTTTCGTGAGCTACAGCTCACTTCATCGGATGCATACCGTGGAAACTGCAGTAGACATTATATACACACAGAGTGTACATATATAGAGAGTGTATATAATGTCTACTGCAGTTTCCACGGTATGCATCCGATGAAGTGAGCTGTAGCTCACGAAAGCTCATGCTCAAATAAATTGGTTAGTCTCTAAGGTGCCACAAGTACTCCTTTTCTTTTTGCAAAGACAGACTAACACGGCTGTTACTCTGAAACTTCTCATTTCATTAATTCTGTCCTGGCTTCTCAGCCGTCAGAGAAAACTTGGACTCCAGGAATGGGTTATTTACTTGCTGGAAGAAAAATAACTATCTGAACAGTCAGGATATGCTTTTATCATCTCCATTGATTTATAATATGCATCTATTGGAGATAAACAAAAATATGATTAGGTGTGGGAGTTAAATCAAATTTTAATAAATAAAAAGTCCACATATTTTTCAAAGCTGTAAATAGTAGATTCTTAATTTACCTTCTTGCATCATGATATCAAAGTTCACCTTCTATTAATCACTCCCCCTCACTCTTCTTTTCTGCAGATGAAATATGGCATGTTCTAAGAGGGTTCAGAATTGCTTCAGGTCCATGTCTCTTTGTGCCAGCCTAGACTCGATAGGATGCTCCCCGTGGTGGGAAATCTTTTGGGAGAATCAAGTGCTAGTTGACTTCTCTTGAGTGTGCGACATAAAGGAGGACAATGCTAGCAGGAGAGCAAGCATAGCCCAGGGAGCTAGTGAATGCACTGTATCAGCCACAACAGCTAAGCAGCTGTCATCAGTGGGGTTCCTCAATGCCACAAGCCTTGACTGAAAGCTGCCATTTCACTGCAAAGATCATGAGGAAGGGTAAGAGCAGCACTGCCTGCCCTCCTTCAGGGTGAAACCCCTTGTCATTCAGGTGCAGGGAAATGTGCATCTAGTGTGGGTGACCCTAGTCCAAGGTTGGAACCCTTCCTTGGTCTATAGATAAACATTATACCAACAATCAGATTAGAATAATCACTGTATCCCAGACCACTGTCTAGGGGCCAGGTGGCATGGTCTGCAAACGGTTCCTTTGTCAGGAGGTATATGCACATACTCCTTGTGCAGATACTTCATGCTCCTGCCAGCTTGGGGAGGGGAACTACATATAGGGCCACCCTGGTTTCCTCATAGCTTCTCCCTGTGTTTATGTTCTTGTCTAACTACGAGCTCTTCAGGTCAGGGACTCCATCTCTAGTTGATTTGTAAAGCACCAGGCACCTCGGCAATACTGTAATCCTAGTAGTAATACATATGCTGCCCCTTAAGAACATCAGCACCTACTTGGGTGACATTTCCGCAGTGAGCCTGCAATAATGAGAAATGACCCATTTCATTTGGCTACAGAAACAGTATTTGCGGTTTTCAAATTTACAGCAGAATGGGATAGCACAGAAAGATAGGGAGGAGGAGGACAGAGAAAGGAGTGTACAAAAGCCTGAAGGCTTCATTCTAGGTTGACCTCAGAACTCAACAGTGGTTTGCCACCACAGCACTGACAAGGACCCTAAGAAGCAAACCTTGCCATCTCCTCTACAGCTGAGGAAACCCCAGGCTGATGCATAGTTGATGTGATTCTACTGGATAGTGGGACAAGATTTATGAAGCCTGTGCAAGAGGTTTGCACCTGTGTTCAGTGTAGATATCCGCTGTGCAGTAGCTCCCTGGAAGTGATTATAGCATAGGGTTTGGGAAAGAGGAGCAGCCAGTGATCCAGAATTTTCAGATTCACCACTTATTCTCTTCAGTGCTTGGGGATGCAGTTGCTGTGGGTACTATTGTAGCTCTGAGACTACAGTTCAGAGCTGTGGAGCAGGTCTGCTGTTGCTCCACAAGATGGGAGGAGATTATCTTGTTCCCACCCTCAGGACCTGAAAGGAAAGGATTCTGTCCTCGCCGCATCATGACAGACCCTTAAGCCCAGTCCTGTTGTTATAATTTACCACACATTGCCCTGAACAGTACTTCCATTATACCTACTAAATATGATTTTTTTCTCCATAATGGTTAGTTGGTTATTTTATGCTTTCTTTATAATCTGATTTAGTTATCTCATTAATGTTTTCCAACTGTAATTAGAGCAATCAGCAGCCTGTTGATGTATTTAGCTTCTTCCATGTTACTACACTCTGCCACCAAGAGGCTACTCTACAGGTTCCTATTGTTAAACATGCATTTTCTGAACAACTCCGGCAATAAAACCTCCACTATACAGTAGATACTTTACTTTTTAGAGAAAAGTGATTCTTTCAGTGCTCTTTGTATATCTTGTACTGAGCAAATGGCACTGTCCATTATTAGAAATGAATGCCATGAAGTTACATTGACATTGATCAGGATTAGGGAAAAAATATCAAAAATTTGGTGCAGTGTCTTTTGGGAAATCTCATATAGAATTTCTAATATCGCTATATTCTTCAGTATTTCTGTTACCAAAAAAGGGACCTCTTTCATTTTACACCCAAATTTACGTCTGTCACATTGCTACCACAAAATATTAAAAGAGATATTTTCAACAGCCGCCTCTACTCTGGCACCTGCAATTGATTGTTGGTGCAATTTTATAGTCACAATAGATTGTGGATACACACTTCAGGGTCTATCTGATCTGCAGGCACAACTAACAGTTCCAATTAGGAAGTTTGAGGTCTGAATTCTATGATTTGTGTCTGTAATCAATTGCAGACACAAGATGAAAGGTCAGGGTATTGCCTTTATGTTTCATACTGGTATTTTCCAAAACCATGTCTCTTCAGATGTCAAGGGAAAAATTATAGTTTTCTTGTGCTGAAGTATTTCATAATTCAGATACCATTTAGGTTTCTAAATGGACCCATCATTGTCTGATCTAGGCTACCATTACAAATAAATTAGACAACCCAAAAGTTATTAAACATTGTTTGAGAGAATACCTTAGAAGTTACTTTACTTTGGAAAACAAATACTTAAATTCTTATAAAGATTAATTCCATCTGAAATATCCCTATACTCCCATGCAATGTAAAATAGCCTATCAAAAAATAAAAAACTTGTCAGCATTGGCTTTTTCATGTTACCTTATGATTTGTTCCACTCCTGTGTCTGCTAAAGAAATAAGAAATTTTTAAGAGGTCAACGTTTTTAAATGTTTGTCTGCAGCCCAAAGTAAGCATAGTGATGCAATTGATCAGTAAACAGCCACTGGACTTATTGATTCTGAAAAGCAAAGATTAACAGCTCATCTTTCCTTGTTTTAGATTGATATAAATATTTTTCTGTGCAGTTCTTTTTGGAGCTTAAACATGTACAGCCACAGCTTATTTGTATCTTGACTTGTGCAGCATATTCCACGGTTGGCCTAACTGATTCAAGGAGGGATTTAGCTCAGGGCACGTTTTCTTGGCTGTACTTGGCTGCTTTGCACCATGCCACAAGCATAAAGCAGCCCTAAAGCTGGCATAACTAGCCATAGGAGGATTATCCCTTTGTCCTGTGATCTTCCCTTGGTACAGAGCCAGCATACTGGCTGCTATGCCACACACACACTGGTTGTTGGCACAGGAGATGTGACTAGGGAAAAGGGGTCTTGGTGAAGTAATCCCTGAACCCCAGCAATTCCTGATTGCTCTAATGTTCTTAGGGCCATTAGAAGCCACTTTAACTTTGTGCAGTGGCTAGGCTGCTCAGACTTTCCCCAGACACTGGACCAAGACAGCCTAGGATTGTGAAACTTGCAGTTACTGGTGCAGCTTCTCTCCCAAGTTCTGCTGTGCATTCCATGGCTACACCTGAGGTTCTGGGCCTTTATATACAGTGGTATGAGGTAGACAAAGGTTTCCTCAGATGAACGGTATACAGTAGTTACAATAGCTGTACTACAGTAAAGCATCGGAGGACTCTGTTGTGCAGCCAAGTGCACTTCTTTCCTGGCATTATGAGGCCGATTGTGTCTTCTGCTGATGCTGGATCTGCAGAAACTGAGTCACCATGCTTTCATCTGCTTCTATTGCTCCCTGTCCACGTGCAGCTGCTGTATCAGGAGGCACCCTTTCCCTGCAGAATGTTCCAAAAAGACATCAACACAATCCCTCCCCTAGTGCCACGTGTGAGAGACTCCCTGCCGTGGATACCTCCACTGGCAGCTTCCATCCCTTTGAGAAAGGCTCCCACACCTGTATTTTAGATTCACAAACAAAGATTTTTTTTCTCTTTTACACTAAAAAGGGGGTTGCACCATACAACATCCTCTTCACTCTCAGAAGGTCTAGGTAAAGAGGGGTCTCTTAGGGCTTCCTTTTAAAAGAAATGCAGATAAGGCTCAGAGGGTCTTTTGAGACAGGTGTCTCAAGCCCTTTCCAAAGAGGTCTCAGGGAGAGTTTCCTTCTTTCTACCCCTCCCAGCTCTGATGCACACTGAAACAAAGCCTGTTGCTGGTGGAGCTGCAATTGAGCCCAGCTGGCTCAGCTTCTGCCTTCCCCTGAGCTTCCTTCATTGCCCCCTCCCCTGTCTTCAAGGTAACTGGGGTCTATACACCCCCTTACATTGTATGCCCCCTACCCATTCCCCATCCCTAAGAAATCAATCCCTACTACAGGCTAATCCCCTTCATCCCTCCCCCAAAACAACCCTCACTATGTATTTGGTTCAGTAACTGGCCTGTTACAGAAGAGAACCTTGAGCAGCAAACGAGCCTCCGACATGCAACCCTAGGTGGGGAGCTCCCAGAGCCTGAACTCCAGCCCAACCCCAAACATCTTTACAGCAATTTTTAGCCCCACAGTCCAAGCCCCTCAAGCTCAAGTCAGCTGACTGGGCCAGCCATGGCCATGCCATGGGTCTTTTATTCCAGTGTAGATGTCAGAGCCCTGCCCTTCCATTGCCCACACTACAAGAGTCCTGCCCAACCACAGGACTTAAAAATCCTTGTAGGCCCAGTTCCTCAGACATAAACACTTAACACTATGGTTCCTAAGCGGGATTTGGCACCTACCCCCATGCTTCTACTTCAAGCTTTTGCCACTGGATGTAGGCTGGCAATCCTCCCCTCACCCAAAGGGCACCCAAGTTACCTTCTTGGGGCTTAATCACTGTGCTGACCACTGTATCCTGTCTCTCTCTGACATTTAGCTATGTGCACTCCAACTAGAGGACTAGATCACTAGCCTAATGCTGCTGCACAAATGAGCTAGGGGGCTACTGGCTCCTAGATATTGCTGAGTGCAACAGGGAGAAAAGCAGCCTCCAGGGGGCATTAGTCCCCCTCTCGTGCAGGTGGGCTGGGAGGGGGACGATAAGAGAAGACGCTTGGGTCCTCCCTCTAACATGCTGGTCAGCACAGCCAAGCCAGTCTGCCAGGGGAAGGAATCTGCACCAGGCACAGAACTCTGTCAGGCACAGGCATAATCAGAGTCACTGTCTGGTTCCCAGTCAGCTCTTGGGGCAATGCAATAGTGTGCTGTCTCTTACTCAGGGTTTGTGGAAAAGCCACATCTTAGCCTCAAATGAGTAAAACATCTCAGAGGTCAGCTTGTCTACTCATTTACTATTGCAATAATGTTCCCAAAAGATTCACACATTAAGCACTGTCAGTTAAAGCAGACTACACCATTTACCACCAATAAATTCAGGAATTACGAAGATGTAAGAAACATGTGAAGATAAACTGAAATATCTAATTCACCCAAGCAAAACTTCATTACAAACGAGTTAAGGCTGATTAAAGGCAATATCTACCCATTCAAAACCATAAAAGCAAGGAAATACCAGGTTAATTATGCGCTATGACTGCATTTCTCCCACAGCTCTTTTTACATGAAATATTACTAAACCCAACACCTTCCCTTATTAGATTTTTTAAAAAATCTCTTCTTTCCTCGGCTACCTTATTTAATATTGCTTCCTACTGTGTGTTTCTCTTTGAATCCTCTTCATTTTCATTGTATTCCTAGCAACAAATTTAGCATACATAATCTCAATCATGCTCCATTAGATCTTTTAAACTTGCATTACTGGTTTAAATATTCTCTTCTTTTTAACCTGTGACAAATAATCTCCCACAGTCTGTTTACTATTAAATATGCATCTCTGAGAGGACATCCAACTGTAGGCTGCTCCATCATATGTATATATTGCTTTGTTTAAACAGTGCTGGAATCTGTTCTTTAGTTCATACTCAGTATGAAGATAAGTATGAAGTACGTAAGAGTGGGGAGATCAAAACAGAGCCGTATGGGGAAGGGTATTAAACACAGCATAGATGGAAATTAGAGGACTGTTTTACAGCACTTGGCACACTTTTGACACAATGAGTGAGATTTTCAAAAGCCCTCCAGCATTGCCTAGCTCTGCTCCCACTGAAGTCAATAGGAGAGTTAAGCCATTACAGAACGCCTCTGAAAATCCTACAAATATTAATAATCTAGATAAGTGGGAAAACGGACTTGGAATCAATGTGCATAAACATTTAGTGACAGAGGATGTGGAAAAAGCTAATGTACTCAATGCTTTTTTTGCCTCTGTCTTCTCGAACAAGGTCAGCTCCCAGACTACTGCACTGGGCAGCACAGCATGGGGAGGAGGTGACCAGCCCTCTGTGGAGAAAGGAGTGGTTTGGGACTATTTAGAAAAGCTGGACGAGCACAAGTCCATGGGGCCGGATGTGCTGCATCCAAGAGTGCTAAAGGAGTTGGCGGATGTGATTGCAGAGCCATTGGCCATTATCTTTGAACACTCATGGTGATCCGGGGTAGTCCCGGACAACTGGAAAAAGGCTAATGTAGTGCCCATCTTTAAAAAAGGGAAGAAGGAGGATCCTGGGAACTACAGGCCAGTCAGCCTCACCTCAGTCCCTGGAAAAATCATGGAGCAGGTCCTCAAGGAATCAATTCTGAAGCACTTAGAGGAGAGGAAAGTGATCAGGAACAGTCAGCATGGATTCACCAAGGGCAAGTCATGCCTGACTAATCTAATCGCCTTCTATGACGAGATAACTGGCTCTGTGGATGAGGGGAAAGCGGTGGACGTGTTGTTCCTTGACTTTAGCAAAGCTTTTGACACGGTCTCCCACAGTATTCTTGCCAGTAAGTTAAAGAAGTATGGGCTGGATGAATGGACTATAAGGTGGATAGAAAGTTGGCTAGATTGTTGGGCTCAACGGGTAGTGATCAATGGCTCCATGTCTAATTGGCAGCCAGTATTAAGTGCCCCAAGGGTCGGTCCTGGGGCTGGTTTTGTTCAATATCTTCATAAATGATCTGGAGGATGGTGTGGATTGCACCCTCAGCAAGTTTGCAGGTGACACTAAACTGGAAGGAGAGGTAGATACGCTGGAGGGTAGGGATAGGATACAGAGGGACCTAGACAAATTAGAGGATTGGGCCAAAAGAAATCTGATGAGGTTCAACAAGGACAAGTGCAGAGTCCTGCACTTAGGAAGGAAGAATCCCATGCACCGCTACAGGCTGGGGACTGACTGGCTAAGCAGCAGTTCTGCAGTAAAGGACCTGGGGATTACAGTGGACGAGAAGATGGATATGAGTTAGCAGTGTGCCCTTGTTGCCAAGAAGGCCAATGGCATATTGGGCTGTATTAGTAGGAGCATTGCCAGCAGATTGGGGGAAGTGATTATTCCCCTTTATCTGGCACTGATGAGGCCACACCTGGAGTACTGCGTCTAGTTTTGGTCCCCAATTACAGAAGGGATGTGGACAAATTGGAGAGAGTCCAGTGGAGGGCAACAAAAATGATTAGGGGGCTGGGGCACATGACTTACAAGAAGAGGCTGAGGGAACTGGGGTTATTTAGTCTGCAGAAGAGAAGAGTGAGGTGGGATTTGATAGCAGCCTTCAACTACCTGAAGGGGGGTTCCAAAGAGGATGGAGCTAGGCTGTTCTCAGTGGTGGCAGATGACAGAACAAGAAGCAATGGTCTCAAGTTGCAGTGCGGGGGGTGGGGGTTTAGGCTGGATATTAGGAAAAACTATTTCACTAGGAGGGTGGTGAAGCACTGGAATGGGTTACCTAGGGAAGTGGTGGAATCTCCATCCTTAGAGGTTTTTAAAGCCTGGATTAACAAAGCCTTGGCTGAGATGATTTAGTTGGTGTTGATCCTGCTTTGAGCAGGGGATTGGACTAGATGAACTCCTGAGGTCTTTTCCAACCCTAATATTCTATGATTCTAGCAAAGTGCAGATGCAAAGAGGATAATTGATGGATGGGTATATATGAAGAAATTTTTATTGTAGGATAAGAGATGTTATAATATCACTTTACATTGCATCTGGAATAGTGTACACAGTTCTTATCTGCACATATCAAAATAGAAAAAGGTGAGACAAAAAAAGGTGACAAAATCAATACAGGTACCTCCTGAAGAGACTGAAGGACTTAATTTGTTTATCCTCAAAACCTATAAGTTTAAGTGGGTCCACATTAGCTAATGTTTTGGGCTAAATTTTCATTTAATGTATTTTAAGTAGGTAATACACATATATGATTGTACATGCAAATCAGTGTCCATGATAATAAGACATATAATATAAACTTTTAAAAAGTATGTTAAATTGGCCCTGTGGGCTTGCATAGATGCAAGAAAAGAGAGGCTCTTTAAAGAGAAAAGGACAGTTACCTTTTCTGTAACTGGTGTTCTTCGAGATGTGTTGCTCATGTCTATTCCACAATAGGTGTGCGTGCTCGCCATGTGCACCGGTGCCAGAAGTTTTTCCCCTAGCAGTACCCGTAGAGGGGAGCGCCCCCTGCAACCTCTGGAGTGGTGCCTGCCTGGCGCGGTATAAGAAGAGCTGCGCACTCCCCCCACCCTCAGTTCCTTCTTGCCAGACAACTCCAACAGAGGGAAAGGAGGGGGGGGATGTGGAATAGACATGAGCAACACATCTCAAAGAATGCCAGTTACTGAAAAGGTAACTGTCTTTTCTTCTTTGAGTGATTGCTCATGTGTAGGTGATTCCAAGCTATACCTGTTGGAGGTGGGTCGGAGTTCACAAGTTCCCAGGACGGAGGACAACCCTGCTGAACCCAGCGTCATCCCTGGTTTTGGGGACGATTGCATAGTGTGAGATGAACGTGTGAACCGAAGACCACGTGGCAGCCCTACAAATGTCCTGGATGGGGACGTGGGCCACGAAGGCAACCAACGAGGCCTGTGCCCGAGTCGAGTGTGCCCTCACAATGGCACACCTGCCAGCTCATAATAGGACCGGATGCACGAAGTGATCCGATTGGAAAGCCGCTGAGTGGAAATTGGCTGGCCCCTCGCGCGCTCAGCCGTGGCGATGAACAGTTGTGAGGACTTTCTTAACGGCTTGGTCTGCTCGAGGTAGGAAGCCAGAGCCCCCTTAGCTGGTACAAAGTACTTGTCTTCTGCCTTTTTAGAGATGGGGGCCAACGAGGCCGATGTTTGCCACAGGGCATTTGAAATCTTAGACATCTCTTCATGGAGAGGCAAGGCCACCCTACCTGGTGCCGCTGGGGACAACACATAAAACAGGGAGTCTGAGGGCTCCTCCATCTCCTCTGCCTGGAGGTGGAGGCTTGTTGCCACCCTCTTTAAGAGTTCTTGGTGGGCCCTGAAGTCCTCCTGTGGGACGGAGGGGGATGGGGCCGCAATCTCTTCCTCCGGGAGGGGAGAAGAGGCCGGTGCGGTGCTCTGGGTGTTGGTCGGCACCAGAGGGTCCACCACCTGGTTGGACTCTGGGCATGGTGCTGAGGACACACGTCCCACCGCCTCCTTTCTCGGGGGTCTGGAGAGGGAGGCCAACAGTGCCCCCGAAGTTCCGGCCACCCAGCGAGCTCCCACCGGGGGCTGCACCGGAGGCCACAGTGCCCACTGGTACCATTGGGCCAGCCACTACGCTCGGTGCCACTGCACCTGGTGTGGCACTGGCGGGGCCAGCTGTTCGCGTTGGCTGGCCTGGCCTGGCCCATCGAAGGACGGCTACAAATGGAGACCGGGCTGGCATAAGATCTGCTGCTGTCTCTGGTCCGGGAGAAGTGGCGGTGCTGGGATCTACGACAGCCATGGGACCGCAATCTCGACGTGGAGGACCAGTACCGGCAGTAACAGCTGCTCTGCAAATGACCTCGACGGGCAGACCCACGACGGCGAAACGCCGGAAATCGACGCCCGGGGCTGCGATGTCTTGGCAGAGACTTGGAGCAGGAGTCCGAGCAGGAACGGCGTCGATGACCGTGCCGTGATTGACTGTGGTACCCTCTCCGAGACGAGGACCGATAGCAACGCCCGCCGCAGTCCCGCCAATATTCGCTCCTTGAGGACGGGCGGTGCCGCGAATCCCGGAGGGACGGAACCCAGCCAGACAGTCTGGTTGGCGTCGAGAACAAATCCACCTGGACTCTGCCCCGAACAATCGCTGGGCGGTGATCAGCGTTGGGAATGTTCCCTCGACCGAGACCGGTACCGAGCCAGTGGCAACTGCAGAGATCCCAGCAGCGGCTTGCCTCTGGAGTGCGGGGCTGACGTTGGCGGCGCTCCGGGCACCGGCATGGACATAATGTCCCGGGCCGCCTGGAGGGCTTCAGACATGGACAGCATCCGGACATCCAGAGAGGCCTGTTCTGAAGGGGCCAGGCTACTCCACTCAAAGTGAGTAGGAGACCTGGGGCCTGGCAGGGATCGAGGACTGCCCAACATGGGCCTAGCCTCTGTCCCAGACTTCCCTCGGTGCCGCTGCGAGGAGGGAGTCTTCCTGGCCCTCTTGGCGTGCCCCGTGGATGGGGAGCGGTGCCAACTGGTCGATGGCACCGGAGGGTTGCCATGTACTGATGCCGCGGTGCAAGGTACCGGTTCAGAGCAGCATGCCAGGGTCGGGGTCAGCGCCGACTCCATCAGGATGGCCCTGAGCCTAATGTCCCTTTCTCTTTTGGTCCGTAGGTTTAAACGACTTGCAAACCTTGCACCTTTTGCTGATATAGGTTTCTCTCAAGCAGCGCAAATAGTCTGCATGTGGGTCACTTCTTGGCATAGAACGCCTACAAGAGCCGTACGACTTAAACCCTGGGGCATGCTCACTGACTAACTAAACTAATTAAACAGCTAACTAACTACACGCTGAACGAACTAACGTACTAACGCTGAACGAACAAACAGTTCTGGGGACGAGCTAAAGCAAGCTGGAGCAGAGCAGTTCCAATGCACCTTCACTGGCGGCAAGAAGGAACTGAGGGCGGGGGGAGTGCGCAACTCCCCTTATACCGCGCCAGGCAGGTGCCACTCCAGGGTTCGAGGGGGCGCTCCCCCCTACGGGTACTGCTGGGGGAAAAGCTTCCGGCACCGGTGCATGTGGCGAGCACGCACACCTATTGTGGGATACACGTGAGCAATCACTTGAAGAAGAAATGCAATTTCTCTGATTACCAGAATAATAGAAGAAACGATATTGTTCCTGGCTTCTGGACAGATACCTATGCTTCTACAAGGGCAAGGCTAAAAGGTGCAGGAGTTCTAGTCTATTCCCAAGATGTATGAATTTAAGACATGGTAAGAAACAACCATGAAATCAGTGTGCCATGGTAATACCTTGCACAGTGATCAGGTACAGTCTTTTCCTCTACATACACTTCTTGGTGATTTAGAAGAGATTTCACACCTTATCTGGTTTAAAGGACAAATTTTCCCTATTAAATTTGTGTCCAGAGCAGGATAGAATTTATGGGGATAAAACAGCAGGGAACTAGATTAAGACAAAAACAATAACGCTGATGTGTAGAAAAGGATGCTATTTTGTAATAATAAAGTTAATGAATTGCACTTTTATACCATCCTATTTTGCTACGTTTCATCTCAACGTTTCACTGTTTTCATCAGTGAAAGACAAACACAATTAATTGAATGCATAACTTAATTCTCCTAGTCCTGAAATTTTGTACCTACTTATGATTATGACTGCACTGAAGGAAGAAGCAGAGATAAAATTTGACTTGTGGATGTTGCAATGTGTAACATACCTTTCCTTTAGTAGGTGGCACCAACCTGTTATAAATCAGCTTTCAGTAAAGCCAAGAGCGTAGAACGCTTAAGGCATGGCTACACTAGAGAGTCCACAGCAATCCTATCGGCTTAACTACTCCAGCCCCAGCGAGCAGCAGTAACTATGTCGGGGGCAAAAGCTCGCCCACCAACATAGGGGTACTCACACCAGCACTTATGTCAGTGTAATTTATGTCACTTGGGGGGGTAGTTTATTCACACCCCTAAGCGACATAAATGATGCTGACATAAGCTGTAGTGTAGATATAGCCTTAGTTGCCTCTTACTGCCACTAGATGATAGTATGGTAACACAGAGATCATTACACTGCACACCAGACCAGCAGTTGCTGAATTTTTGACAATATTTAATATTTTTATACTTACTAGAACAGACAGGCACCGATGCTAGGTATCTAACCTTTGAATTATCAGCACTGGATTATGCTCCCAGTAAAGTGAATGTAGTAACATATCCCTACCATAATGACAGGTTTCAGAGTAGCAGCCATGTAGTCTGTATCTGCAAAAAGAAAAGGAGGACTTGTGGCACCTTAGAGACTAACAAATTAATTTGTTAGTCTCTAAGGTGCCACAAGTCCTCCTTTTCTTTATATCCCTACTAGTATGCAGGGTTGTTGTTGCTATGTCAGCCCCAGGATATTAGAGAGACAAGGCAGGTGAGCTGATATCTTTTACTGGGCCAGCTTCTGTTGGTGAGAGGACTCTCTGCCAGAAAAGTGGATCACATCATGGAACAGGCCACCCAAATACTCCGAGAGAACCCCAGACCTGAAGAAGAGCTCTGTGCCGGTTTTGTTCAATATCTTCATAAATGATCTGGAGGATGGTGTAGATTGCACTCTCAGCAAATTTGCGGATGATACTAAACTGTGAGGAGAGGTAGATACGCTGGAGGGGAGGGATAGGATACAGAAGGACCTAGACAAATTGGAGGATTGGGCCAAAAGAAATCTGATGAGGTTCAATAAAGATAAGTGCAGGGTCCTGCACTTAGGACAGAAGAATCCAATGCACTGCTACAGACTAGGGGCCGAATGGCTAGGCAGCAGTTCTGCGGAAAAGGACCTAGGGGTGACAGTGGATGAGAAGCTGGATATGAGTCAGCAGTGTGCCCTTGTTGCCAAGAAGGCCAATGGCATTTTGGGATGTATAAGTAGGGGCATAGCGAGCAGATCGAGGGACGTGATCGTTCCCCTCTTTTTGACATTGGTGAGGGCTCATCTGGAGTACTGTGTCCAGTTTTGGGCCCCACACTACAAGAAGGATGTGGATAAATTGGAGAGAGTCCAGCGAAGGGCAACAAAAATGATTAGGGGTCTAGAACACGTGACTTAGGAGGAGAGGCTGAGGGAGCTGGGATTGTTTAGTCTGCAGAAGAGAAGAATGAGGGGGGATTTGATAGCTGCTTTCAACTACCTGAAAGGGGGTTCCAAAGAGGATGGCTCTAGACTGTTCTCAATGGTAGCAGATGACAGAACGAGGAGTAATGGTCTCAAGTTGCAGTGGGGGAGGTTTAGATTGGATATTAGGAAAAACTTTTTCACTAAGAGGGTGGTGAAACACTGGAATGCGTTACCTAGGGAGGTGGTAGAATCTCCTTCCTTAGAGGTTTTTAAGGTCAGGCTTGACAAAGCCCTGGCTGGGATGATTTAACTGGGAATTGGTCCTGCTTCAAGCAGGGGGTTGGACTAGATGACCTTCTGGGGTCCCTTCCAACCCTGATATTCTATGATTCTATGTGTAAACTCAAAAACTTGTCTCCCTCATCCAGAAGTAGATTAAGATTTATTGGGGTCCTGGGCACAAAGAACATTTGGGCCCCCCACACTCCAGGGGCTCAGGTGTGCTGAACTGGGGGAAGGCGGGTTGGGAAGGGCATGCCCATTCACTTTTTAACATGGGCGTAATAGCCTTGGGCAGGTGAGGAACAGCAGTGGAAGGGGCTGTGCTTCTCTGCAGGGGAGTTGATAAAGTCCCCTGCCATGAAGCATAATCTCTGCTCGTGGCACCAGCATCTTCCCGATGAATGGCTGAGGTGGGCCTGACCCCCCTCGCCATGGGGCTCCACCCCATGCTCCTCCTCTTCCCCCATGGCCTTGCTCTCTGGCCATGCCAGAAACCAGAGCCGGGCCATAGTAAGAGCTGTCCATGGAGCCCGGGCCACTGTGGGAAGCCCTGGACCCTCCGCCTGTCTTGGGCAGCGCGCCCAGGGACATGGGCCAGGGGCTGCTCTAGGGCACCCTGGCCAGAGCAGGTGGAGGGGCCAGGGCTCTCCACAGCAGCCCAGGCATCACTGCCCAGTTCTGGCTTCTGGCTTTGCCTCGGGGGAAGAGGAGCAGGCGGCAGGGCCACAGTTCCAGTGCCACTGGCCCCCCGACTTCTACACAAGTTCTGGAGCTCCTGCAGAGGCCCCCAAATTGGCCGAGGCTCCGGGGCCCGGACCCCATGCATTAATCCACCACTGCTCTCACCAGCAGAAGGTGGTCCAATAAAACATATTACCTCACCCCTGTCTCTCTATTATCCCTACTGTATCACTAGTGTGGAGGGCACTGGTACTTGTTCACAGGCCCACAGTCATGAATTATGGGTACGTCTACACTGCAATTAAAAAATACCATGCCACCAAGTCTCAGAGCCCAGGTCAGCTGACTCGGGCTTGTGGGGCTTAGGCGGCGGGTCTAAAAATTGTTATGTAGCTGTTCAGCCACAGGCTGGAACCCAGGCTCTGAGACCTTCTCCCTCACGGAATTGCACAGCCAGGGCTCCAGCCTGAGTTCGTACATCTACACTGTCATTTTATAGTCCAGCAGCCTGAGTTCCACATTCCTGAGTCAGCTGACCCGGGCCAGCCGCACCCACGACCTGGGTCTTTTATATCAAAGTGTACATGTCCCCCATGTGGCCAGAGATCAGATGTTCAGTTGGGCTCCTCCTTTACTCTTTTCTTTCACACAAGCATGCACACACTCATTCTCACTCCCCTCTACCACATGCTCTTCTTCCTTCAGCTTTATCTCTCCATCTCTCCTCTACCCTCATCTCCTCACTCTGTCAGTCACCTCAGGAGGAACGGGAAGTGCTGGTTTGTTTTCCTAACTTTCATGTTTGGCACTGGTACATCTTGATCCTTCTGTTCTTTGCCTGTGGCACGCAATTGCTTAGCCTTCCAAAAGCTATAATACTATGGTCTAATTCCAGTTATTGTGTTTAGTGTGCAGGTGGATGGGTGGTGTCGGTGGCCTGTGGTATACAGGAGATCAGATTAGATGATCTGGTGGTTCCTTCTGACTCTATAACTCTATTTTGATAGGTGGTTGATGTTGGTGTTCCCATGCTTCCTGCTGGAAGGGAGCAGACTGTTTTGTTCTGGTTTAACACACACACAGGCATTCATCTACAGACTTGCCTACCCTGGCCGACCAAAAAGCCTGAGCACTCATCTAGGTAATATTTACATGAGGTGTGCTTACTCTTTGTTAACTCCACCATAGCTACTTCTCACCTTTTCCTCCCTCTTTATCCCTCCCTTACCCTAAAAGTTATTTCCTCCCCATGCTAAATTGAAATGCTCCCTTCTAAACACCTTAACTATGCAACTCTCCTCAAACCCCTCCTCCATAGTCCACCAAGATTTCATCCACACAGAATCAGTTCTCTCTTCACCTGCCAAAATTAATCAGTTCTCCATTCACATGATCAGTTCTTTCCCTCCATAAAATCAATTCCCAACAAAAAAATTTTCCCTCCCAAACAGTCAAAACTTATCACAACACAAAATCATTTTTTCCCTCCAGTACCTCATAGCGGTCAGTCACTTCTCCATTACAACAGCAGGCTCAGGTCCCCGCTGAGAGCACTGTTTCACAGGGAATGATGCTGATGGATGGGTTCGGTGCTGCAGGGTCCTTCAGTGAGGGGAAGGAACGGGAAGGCAGAGACACCCTTGTAGAGTCAGGAGGGAGAGGATGCTGTATCTGCTCCTGGTTACACCTCCTGTGTGCCTTGCCTGACGCAAGTAGGAGGCACAGAAAAATCACTACAAATTCCAAGGTAGCAGATGATCACTCAACACCAGAGGCAAGAGAGAGAAAGAAAGCTGGACTCTCCAGTTAAAAGCTGGAGACTTAATAGATATGACACACACATACACACAAAACTATGGGATTGGGAACTGGAAAGTTAGGAGTTAGCTGATAGGCTGAAACAAAATGAAAGCTAGAGCCCTACGAAATAAGTCTCTAGGATGTGGACCAGTTCAGGCCAGAGTGCTACAAGGGCCAAAGGTTCCCACTAATTTGGTAACAGGTTCATTATTATCTCAACCGGTGTTACCTGAACTTATGTAAAGAGAGTCAATCATTTTCCTTATAGAATTCCAATAAAAGTGCTCTATTTTTGGTATAAAATGGACTTATCCTTAGTCTTCCTCTTCTTTTTGATCTAAACAAGTTTATAACTCATGGATACATAATAGCCACAGCGTGAGTGAGCTGTTCACCTGTCAAGTGTCTTTGAAACATATTTTCAAGTATGCTGGTGATACATAACAAAACATCCTTACTATGTAAAATACACTGAATACATTATTTTGACTAAAATAAATGTGTTTCATATGAAAGATTGATTCAGGGGCCTGAAGAAATCACTATAGAGAAGACTGTTCGATTGATTGACAGTTTTTCCAAAACACACCCTACATGTCCATCACTTCGGTAAAAACGTTTTCTTTTAATATTTAGGGACAAATATTAAACAAGAAAAAAAGACAATCAAGTGCAGATTGACATAAACCTTGTATTAACTTCTTGGGAAGACAGTCTACTTCACACTTACAATTGCTTTTTGCTCATGCGTTCTTAACGTCTTCCATAGAAGTACATAACAAGTATATGTTTCTTAATGTGTATGAAAAATACCAATAATTTTTCCTTTCCCAACTAAAAAAAAAGTAATCTCACCAATACAACGATTGTTCAAACAAAGTCCATGCCATAAAATGTTATGGTTTAATCTCCCTTATTTATTAGAATAGTCAGTGGTCACTGGTTCCATCACTAGTGACAGGAGCTGATCTAATGACTATTGAACTCAATAGGGGTATGGCTAAATTGCAGACTAAGCCTCGGCTCTGACAACTTCCCCACTTACGTCCACACACCTATCAGTCCAACATGAGTCAGCAAGAACTCAGGTCCTAGATCCTAGGACCATACTAGGGGGATGGGTTAGAGCCTATGTCCTACTGTGACTCAGGTCCAAGCTCTGTCACTTTGCACTGTGGATGCAGGTTAAGTTACAGGCCCAAGTCAGAAGGTCCACACAGTGCAGTATGGACAAATTAGCATGGCTGTGAGTCCCAGGTCAAGACATTTTAAACCCAGATTTATAATGCAGTAGGACGCTCAAGCACGGACTTGGAAACACTGAGTCCACAAGCTCGGATTCAGAGTAGACATACCCTAGGAGTCTTGCCATTCACTTCAGTAGTCTTTGGACCAGGCCCATAGGGCTAGACCAGGGGTGGGCAAACTTTTTGGCCCAAGGGCCACATCTGGAAATAGAAATTGTATGGCGGGCCATGAATAAAGCTCACAAAATTGGGGTTGGGGTGCAGAGGGGGATGAAGGCTCCGGTTGGGGGTGTGAGCTCTGGGGTGGGGCTGGAGATAAGGAGTTCATGGTGCAGGAGGGGGCTCCGGGCTGGGGCAGGGGAGTAGGGTGAGGGAGGAGGGCTCTGGCTGGGGGTACGGGGTCTGGGGTGGGGCTGGGGATGAGGAGTTTGGGGTGTAAGAGTGTGCTCCGGGCTGGGACCGAGGGGTTCAGAGGGCAGGAGGGGGATCAGGGCTGGGACTGGGGGTTGAGGCTCGGGAAGAGGCTCAGTGGTGCAGGCTCCGGGGGGCACTTACCTCAGGCAGCTCCTGGAAGCAGCGGCCATGTCCCCACTCTAGCTCCTACACAGATCCGCAGCCAGGCGGCTCTGCGTGCTGCCCCGTCCGCAGATGCCACCCCTGCAGCTCCCATTGGCCATAGTTCCCGGCCAATGGGAGCTGTGGGGGCAGCGTGCAGAGCAGAGCCCCCTGGCTGCCCCTACATATAGGAGCAGGAGCAGGGCCATGCCACTGCTTCCGGAAGCAGCGTGGAACAGCCCCTGACCCTGCTCCCCAGTTGGAGCCGCGGAGCGGGGCAAGCCCCAGACTGCGCTCCCCAGCAGAAGCTTGAGGGCTGGCTTAAAACAGCTGGTGGGCTAGATCCGGCCCATGGGCCACAGTTTGCCCACCCCAGGGCTAGACTGTAGCTTTATAATCTGCCCCACGTAAGGCACAGTGCAGAGGTCCCCCTTCCTCACAGCAGAACAGAGAGTGAGTTGTGACTCCCCGCAGCACAGCCAAAGACCCATCCTGAGCAATGAGGACTGAGTAATGTTGAGCCCTACCTCCCCACACAGTGGAGTTAGGGCTCTGACAACCTATAGTGAACAAGGATATAGAAAGACCTTAACAATACAGTTGGTTTCCCTTTTATTTCATACTTCAAAAGCTATTGAAAAAATGGTGTAAGTGTAACACTGACAAACCCCAGTCGTTGGAAGGCGGAATCAAACCTGGGGCCTCGGGAGCATAGTGCATGAGGCTCTACCGCATAAGCGAAAAGCCAACTGGCGGTTAGCTAAGGCTGTAGAGCAGACTCATTAATCTCTCTCTGGCCTCGGTGCCACTAGATGGGACAGAGCACCACACCCAGGAGGTGTCTGGGTTACACAAGTACCATGAAAAATGGAGGAAAATAAATGGGTTTTCTGCTGCTTAATATTAATTAGCCATTTGATCAGAAATTCAGATTATTCACGAAACACTCTATAAAATCTGTGAAATGTTGCATGCCTGCTGCCCAGCTCAACTAAGGCTTTTAGGCCTGCAGGCCTGTTTTCTACCTCATCCAAAGGAATCTGCAAAGAGATTCATACACGCAGAATCAACCAACCACATCAGCATCTTGCAAAAATGGGTAAAGAGTGGGCAAAGCTGACAGCTTAGGCACACAAAGTGTCTTTATGTGCCATCCTAGGCAGGCAGGAACCCAGGCTCAGATTGCCCTTATTTATTACGATACAGCTATAATGCCTTGACCCAACCATATTGGTGGTTTAAAAGCCTCGGAGGGGTTTTATCATCAGGAGGCAAACCATTACAAAATTCAAAGGGAATATTCCCTGGTTGCAAATTGACCCACAGGGATACATTTGTAGTCCTTCTCAGATTTTGTAGAATAAGAACCTTTGCATGTAAGTGTACAACCACACCAAGATTATCTGAGATCTCAGTTAAAGCCCTGGAAAAGCCAAACACACATGAGCCATACTTTACCTGTACCAGAAAGAAACACTGGCAAGCAGAACCAGTCACCATCTGAATTGTTCATTCAGGTTATGTCTCTGTAGCACTATGGTCTGCATGGTTTTCATATATTAGAATAATATTCTACCAGTTTTAGGAGTTCATGAGTAAACCTTTATATATAACAGGTTCAACTTCACAACAGTTAGCATGCCAGGATGAAACTGTTTATTTCCTTGAGAATAAAATTAACATGTAATTTCAAATGTTGTCATGCTTTGAGGAACTGAGCAAAAGTCCTATGGTCAGTAGTCTTCCATTAACTGTACCACTGTACAGTAACTTATTAATTTGGTCTTGCCTAATACGTGGAGGCTACCTGAAATCACACAGCAAGCCTGTTTTGAGTTTCTTCTAGATATTTCTTCCAGATTGATCAGACATGCTTTGTGATTGTTTCATATTTAGTGTTATTTACCCTTAAAAATTATTTAAAACATTGAAAGCACACACTGTCTGAAAAACACAATCGACAGAGGTTTCCCAGTGACCTTCATATGTAGAGTAGTTGACTAAAAGATGAGAGGAATTGCAACAGGCCACTACAAATATCCAATATTCATCACTCTTTTTGTCCAGTTATACCCTTCAAAAATATACCACATTTTTCAGTCACATGCAGTTGTGAATTGGATACACAAATAAGTGGGGCAAAATGACTTACTGCATTCCTTTAGAACTATATCCCTATAGATGTACTGATTTTTAAAAAAAATAAATAAGATTTTATTTAAGAGAAGACATAGCCATGAAAAGTAGCAAGGAAGAGTAGTAATCACAGGAACAAAATAAGGGACCAATTCCTGAAGTCCTTACTCAGAGATAAATTCTCTGCTGGGACAAATGAATGAAATCCATTGAAGTCAATGGAGCTGTGCTCATTTATGCCTGCAGAGAATTTGGCCCTTTTTAGAGAGTCATTTCTGAGGCCAATCTTCCGCTGACATCAAGTTAAGGACTGAGTGAAAGCTAAGTGAAGACTTCAGTATTTGTCCCAGTGAAAGGAACTGTTGGACAACAAAGGTTTTGTGAGACTCATGATGTACTCAGGAAGCCCTCCTTGTGTTTTGTAACCAAAAATATCAATCGCGAATATCTGAAGCAAAAATAGACTAGCGAGTGCTGCGCTCGAGAAGTGCCAGAATGCAGGTATCTGAAGGGCCATAAAATGCCATTCCAGCTTTCCAAAAAGGTGCTGGAATGCCATCCAAGAGTGTTCCAGCAGGGCTCAAATACAACTTTAGAGTACTGGCTTACTTTGGCAAATTCTTTTATCCCACCCTCAGTTAAACAACGTGTAAAACAGACAGAACCTGGCATTGCATTTTCTGAAGAAACACAAAGTTGACTTATCTCCTTCTAGTACTGAATTATGAGCCATTTCGACTCCCCAAGGCACTGTAAATGGGTTCGCTCACTGAAGTGAGTCTCTGTGTTGTTACTTGCAAACAGTTTAATAAAAAGATGTTACAAAAATGGTAGAACTGATGGGTTAGTTGGCTTGTGCATGTGTCACAGAAACAGGTACAAAGCCTGTCCTTTCAGAACCCTACTGCAATAGTTGTACTAAGTAGCTGGGGTATACAAAAACTTTTCCTTATGGCTTGAAATAGCCAGAAATGTCATCTTTGTAAACCAATATGAGCAATTAACATTAACAATTAAAAATGTTGTTAAGATAAAACAATATCAAGAATCTACGTCTTCAGAAACAACATTATAACAACATAGAGCCAAATTCTGCCCTCCATTGCTGTCATGCAACCTCATTCATTAATTGCAGGGAGGGCAGAATATAGACCTTATCTAAATACATATTTTCTTAGGGCAAGACAAACTATGTCTTATTTAACTCTGATCTTCCCTTCTGAAGGGTAAATATTGATATTTGAAATACCTAATTATATTTACAGCTGTACAACACTGATGTTATATACTTGTAAAATATAACTAGTACTTTATAAACAAGGGGTAAGTGATACAATCTGCTTCAAACGGGGGAGCAGACATCCTCACACATTTTCTTTGTCAAATTCACAAACAAAATACATTGTAATGTGACAGGCAACGTCATTCCATCCACCGGAGGCCACCATTTCCACACAGTCCTCCTCATCATAGGCATTATTGGGTTCGCCGCTGCGCCATTTGTTGAAGGTCTGCATGGGTGATCGATCAGAATACACAAAATTGCCCTCTTTTTCCAGGTCATTGATCCCAATGAAAACTCTGGTGAGCCCTGCTTGATTGATGTAAGAAGCAATCAGACTATTTGTATTCTCATCCTTGGGCATGCTCAGTGTTCCTCCTCTTCCATGGCAGTAGAGCTGGGCATCCATATATCTTTTCTCTTCTTTCACCAGTAGGTATATCTTATTATCTGTCTCACGCACACCAGCGACAGCTGCGGGGGAGGGCAGTGCTGAAAAGTGAGCACTCGCATTTCTATAAACCAACTTAATGCACACCACAAAAATAGATACACAAATCAAATATGAAATGGCCATATTCTTTAAGAGCAGCTTCATCATTAAAAAAAATAGGGCACTTGGAAAGGGAGAAACATTTAAAATAAACATACCATTTTTTATGAATTTTAATTCAGTTGTCAGCTGGGCCACTTGGATATCCATTTCACCAATAGCCTTCCTTAGCTGGCTGCATTCACAAGGGATGCCTGCAGAGATCGGGGGGTGCTTGCTGTTAAATTGTATATACAATCATAAATAAAAATGTTTTGTGAAATATATTTATGTGACTGTATTGCTCACAAAAGGGGCTAGCCTGATGACCCCAGAGAGTGAAATTCTCTGTCCAAATAATAGGCAGCAACTGTGCAAACTTCCCCATGTTGACCCACCAACATCCTTCACTCTGACCTGTGGGTCTACCTATAGGAGTTCAGTTCACTTCACTTTCTATGCTACCTCAATCCTTGGCCTCTCTGAGGAGATCCCAAATGATGGTGCCAATTAGTGCCAAACATGTGGCAGACACCGGTCCACTAGGAACAAAAATAGGACGTCTTTAAACTTCTTAGTTCTCAGTGATGCATATATAAGGCAAAAATCTCCTCTTCCATCTTCAATGCAGATCTCTTTTCCACACAGGAAATCTGTATGGTATATTCTGCATTTGCTCTGCATGAGGGATCTATCTGCACAACAGATCAGAGGCAGATGTTGCTCCTATTATGTAATGCTCAGAATTAGCCCTAAAAGACAGTTCTGGCCATTTCAAAAGTGTTTGTTTGTTATAGTTCTTCCAATAAAAGACTTAAGACTCTAAAATTCTGCCCATTATCCCAAATTTACATTGGTCTGAAAAAAGCAATTTTAATGAGATTATTAAAAAGGTAACTTCTGTGAGCCCAGTTTTGAAAACTAGGTTTCAGGTAAGGCACCCAGTTCTGCATATGGGTATTCAAACCTGTATTTAATCATGCTAATATCCAGTTTATCTACTTAACTGTCTAATCCCACCCCCACCTATCAGCTCTCATTCAGTATCCTGCCCCAGATCTGCCTGTAATGTCAGCCTCTATGGCCCATTTGTTAAATTTTCAAACAAGCACTTTTGTGCTTTCTCCAATTCTGCCCATCACAGGTGGGAGGAGCTCCCTGTAAATATCCACAAAGCCACTTCATTGTTATTCTTCAAAACCCTCCTTATAACTCCTCTTTGCCACAATGCCTACACAAAAATTCAACAAGAGTTAGGCTGCTGGCGCACTGATACTGCAGAGGCTCATTAACCTGCACATCTACCAATGGGATATATGCCATCATGTGCCAGCAATGCTCCTTTGCCATGTACATTGGCCAAACCGGACAGTCTCTACACAAAAGAATAAATGGACACAAATCTGACATCAGGAATTATAACATTCAAAAATCAGTAGGAGAACACTTCAATCTCCCTGGTCACTCAATAACAGACTTAAAAGTGGCAATTCTTCAAAAAAAAAAAAATCCTTCAAAAATAGACTCCAATGTGAAACTGCAGAACTGGAATTAATTTTCAAACTGGACACCATCAAATTAGGCCTGAATAAAGACAAAGAGTGGATGGGTCATTACAAAAACTAATTTCCCCATACTTTTACTCACACCTTCTTGTCAACTGTTTGAAATGGGCCACCCTCGTTACCACTACTAAAGTGATTTTTCCTCCCTTGGTAATCTACTGTTAATTGAATTGTCTTGTTAGACTGACCCCCCCCACTTGGTAAGGCAACTCCCATCTCTTCATGTACTATGTATACATACCTGTTACTGTATTTTCCACTCCATGCATCTGATGAAGTGGGTTCTAGCCTACGAAAGCTTATGCCCAAATAAAATGTGTTAGTCTCTGCGGTGCCACAAGGACTCCTCATCGTTTTTGCTGATACAAACTAACACAGCTACCACTCTGAAATTTGAGTAGTGTAGATCAGCTGTAAATTACTAACCCCCAATGGAGCAAGGAGAAAGCAGGGAAGGAAATGCGACTCAGAAGTGTGTCTCCTGCAGCTATTCCTAGGCTAGTGTAGCTAGCACATACTAAGCCCCTGACTCAGCAAAGCTTTTAAACACCTGTCTAAATCCATGCCACTTCAGCAAACCTCTTAAAAACATTTTGAACTTACACATGTGCTAAAGTACTTTGCAGGCCCTTTGCTGCTTACTGCTGTATGCCTGGACCCAGGGTCTAAGTAGCAAATGTAGGAGTGAAAGGGGGGTTCCTTCTCCTTTTGAATGGGCACAGTCCAAGTCACTATCCATCCCTAAGACTCTTCTCCTCACATACAAGGCACTGCATAGCCTTGCTCCTTCCTAACCTTCCCATAAGAGCAGATGTTTTAGTAAACATTGATTGTTCATTACTCACTGCCTAATAGCAACCACTGAATGATACAAATGTAACAATGTGGTTAACAAACACATAATTAATGCAAACAACATTTCCATTTTTACGTTTCCATTATCTAAGATAAAATCTATTAAAGATATTAGAATGCAGGGGAGGGGCTGCATTTTTGTCCTAAAAGCACCGATAGTCTATTATTTTCCATCTTCTGAGTCTAAGGCCAGGTCTACGCTACAAACTTACATTGGTATAACTATGTCACTCAGGGGTGTGAAAAATTCACACCCCTGAGCGATGCAGTTATACTGACTTAGCTCCCCTACATAGACAGCACTATGTCAAGGGGTGGGCTTCTCCTGTCAACATAGTTATTGCCTCTCATGGAGATGGATTAACTGCGCCGATAGGAGAAGCTCTCCCATCAGTACAGCAGCATCTTCACTGACGCAGCTGCACTGGTACAGATGTGCCGCTGCAATATTTTATGTTTAGACTGGCCCTAAGCTTTTCATACTCCTAACAAGATATTGTGTTCCTGTTGATCATCCAGTGGTTTTTCAGATTCTCAAACAATGTGTAGAAGGGCTTTGCAAAACAGCTTCTCTCCACCAGCATAGCTGGCAAAAATCACAGTATTCTTGAAAACCAAAATAAGGTGAGTTCTGTAGATCAGTGGTTCTCAAATGTATTTGATTGTGTCCCCTTTTTTGTGCTTGTAGTAGTTTACAGCCCCCCACCCCGCAACACACAAGTACATATACCCATAAAAAAAAAAAATCAACATGCAACTCTCATTAAACATTAAAAACAGCAAGGCATTGATTCAAACAGAGCCAACGATCCACTATAATAAGAGCAAAAGAAAAACTGCAATTGTGGTCGATGCTTACAATTAAATGTACACACCATGTCACAGCAAAGAATGGATTAAAGTACAGAGGGCGATGACTTTGAATAATGCTAGGCAAGCTTAGCAGAAATCCATGAAAATGCACAGTGCCATCTGAGGACCTGATGTGTCTGGAGGAATCTGCTTAGTTATTTATTCATTGCTGGGGGTAAAATGTGTGCAGTAAGTTCTTTTCCCCCAAAAGCTTTTCATGCCCCCCAGAATACATTCCGCACCCCATCCCCATCTCAGGGCACCTGCCCCTGCAGTTTGAGAACAACAGCTGTGGATGAAAATATGCCCTCCTACCCTGCCAATAAATTCTGCAAAGCCTAAGCCTGTTGGCCTTGTAGACACTGGCATGAAGTCCCTAAATCGCTCCTTAGGCCCTGTTCATGCACTAAGAACCACATACACAGACCAGCTTTGTGCCCATGAGATGTCCCACTGAAGTCAATGAAGGTGCAGGGGTCCCCCACAAGGTTCTCAGTGCAGAATCAGGGCCTAAGTAGGATCTCCAGAGATGTCTTTTTACACAGTGGTGAATGACTGGGAACAAGTTGCATTCCTGCTCCCATTAGCTTTCTGGAATAACTAAATCCACATTGAGTTAGTGGGGAACTATTGAGCATTCTTTCAAGCAATTGTCCACCCCCCCAGAAGGAATTACAGTACAACTCCCAGCAGCCATTGCATCCTCAACAAACTTTTTGTAAAAGTACCCTGTAGATGTGCAGTATAATCCAAATTACAATGCGTAAATCAGAAGAGGTTATTCAAAATTTTTACTTCCAACAGCATTCTTCAGCATTTTTAAAAGAAATGTGTACTATACATAATTTATACATTTTTTTAAAAAAACAATACACTTTGAAGATCTATCATGGTTTACCTGGGTCTCCATTAGGACCAGGTGGCCCTATATCCCCATTATCTCCCTTTTCACCTAAAAAATGAAAAATATCATCAATTTTGCTGCTCAACAAACAGATTGGGTCACCAATTTCATTAACAGGAAGTTTCTAAACAGGGTTTTTGTGTTAATGACTAAGATTTAAGGCAAAAAACAAATGCATAATGTAGAGATAGGCCCCAAACGATGGAGAATTTGGATTTGTTGTCCCAGTCAGTTCATCATCAAGACAGGCTCAAACTGTGTAGTTGGGATTCAGGGACAAACATCATGACTAGTTTCATTCTGTTCCATTTCCTGTTATTTGTGTCAGCACTTGCTTAGGCACTTTACAGAGCAATGACTTCCGTGGAACCTGTAAGGAAGTAGCACTTCTGAAAATCAGGCCACTTTTATTTAGGTACCTAAATTTTGATTTAGAAGCCTAAAATTAGACAACTCCATTGAAAATGCTGTTCAAAATGATTTGACCAATGTCACAGAAGAAGTGGGAAGTCCAAGGAATTCAGACCTCATGGCTCCTGAATCTGTGCCTCTACCAAAGTACAATCCTACTTCCCACCCGCTCTCCTTTAAATACCTATACTTGGAGGTTGATGTAACTTAAAAACTCTTTAATCTACCCAAAAGTCAGCTTTCTGAGACCTCTTGATCCTGCTGTGTGTCAGGGTATAAGATAACTAGTCCAGAGATCTCCATCATTTGATTGACTAGAATGTGATTTAATTATAGGACTTGCTATCTATTGTATCAAGGTTCCTTCCCCACTCTGAACTCTAGGGTACAGATGTGGGGACCTGCATGAAAACCTCCTAAGCTTACTTTTACCCACTTAGGTTAAACTTCCCCAAGGTACAAATTATTTTCCTTTTTCCCTTGAACTTTTGCTGCCACCACCAAACGTCTAACATCAGTTACTGGGAACGAGTCCATTTGGAAACGTCTTTCCCCCCAGAATCCTCTCAAATGTTACACCCCCTTCCCTGGGGAAGGTTTGATCACCAATTTGCATAGGTGAACACAGACCCAAACCCTTGGATCTTAAGAATAATGAAAAAGCATTCAGTTTCTTAAAAGAATTTTAATAGAAGAAAACATAAAAAGAATCACCTCTGTAAAATCAGGATGGTGAATACCTTACAGGGTAATTATATTCAAAACATAGAGAATCCCTCTAGGCAAAACCTTAAGTTACAAAAAGACACAAAAACAGGAATATCCATTCCATTCAGCACAGCTTATTTTCTCAGCCATTTAAACAAACAGAATCTAACGCATATCTAGCTAGATTACTTACTAAGTTCTAAGACTCCATTCCTGTTCTGTCCCCGGCAAAAGCATGACACAGACAGAGAGAAAGGCTTTGTTTTTCCCTCCCCCCAGCTTTTGAAAGTATCTTGTCTCCTCATTGGTCATTTTGGTCAGTTGCCAGAGAAGTTATCCTCGCTTCTTAACCCTTTACAGGTGAAAGGGTTTTTCCTCTGGCCAGGAGGGATTTTAAAGGTGCTTACCCTTCCCTTTATATTTATGACAATTGTGGTAAGCCCTGAGACAATCTGAGTAATTTTAATTATGAACTGGACTCATCTCAAAGATAAATGGCCCTTGAGTATTCAGTTGAGACACCATGGGAGAAAAAAAGATTGAATCAAATATACCTTTTGAACCGATGGGACCAATTTTTCCATGTCGACCCATACTGCCTTTCTGTCCTTTGTCCCCCATTTCTCCTAAACATAACAAAAAGATCAAAGACACAAGTTAAAAACATTGTCTGCTTTATTCAGACCCCCAGCAGCACTTCAGTATCATTTTCTATGGCAGGCAGCAGAAAATGTTGTAGGAAATTTTCTTTGCAATTACAATGAATGATCACCAAGGTTTGTCAAATTCCAGAAGTCCAGCTCTTTCCTCATCCATGGCCTGCTACATAAATAACACAGAAGCACATTTAATCTTCTCAGTGCAGTTGACTTCACTGGGACTGCACAGGTGTAAATGAAAATAGAATTTGACTGAAAGCCATAAAAAAAGGTTTTGTATGACTCCACTCAGATAATTTGTCATGCCAATGTATTGTTGAAAATAAAGGGAGTTTCCAGAAAAACTTGTGGACCAAAAGGCTGAATCTATTACGGAATTTAAGAGATTTACAGGTCTTCAAGCATAATGAGTCAATTCGTCTAATGCAGTGGTTCTCAACCATGGGTACACGTACCTCTGGAGATACACAGAGGTATTCCAGGGGGTACAGCCACTCAGCTAGATATTTGCCTAGTTTTACAACAGGCTACATAAAAAGCACTAGGGAAGCCAGTACAAACTAAAATTTCATACAATGACTAGTTTATACTGCTCTATATACTATACACTGAAATGTAAGTACAATATTTATATTCCAATTGATTTATTTTATAATTATATGGTAAAAATGAGAATGTAAGCCATTTTTCAGTAATAGCATGCTGTGACACTTCTGTATTTTTAGGTCTGATTTTGTAAGCAAGTAGTTTTTAAGTGAGGTGAAACGTGGGGTACGCAAGACAAATCAAACTCCTGAAAGGGGTAAAGTAGTCTGGAAAGGTTGTGAAGCTCTGATCTAATGGAGTAGCAACAAAGTAACTAAGAGCAGAATTTAGTCTTTGCGTTCTGTAAATTCAGTGGAAGGCAGTTGCATACTTATTCTTTTCTCTATACTCTAAACATCTCAATAGTATTATAATGAGAAATAGTGAAAGCCTTATGTTTGCCCTCTAGGGGCGCGCGTGCGCACACACACACAGTCTAAGTAATTCACAGCAGGAATGTAAAGTGTTATTAATTTTAAGGAAGATACCATGCAGTACTTTACAGTGGAGTTGTGGTAAATGAGCCACTTGAAAATTATCTTCCTCAGCAATTTTTAATGAATAAAGGATAAATATGCACATTACAAAAGCTGACATAAATTGTCAAAGTTGCCATAATTTACCCTCTTCTTTCAGTGTTTGTCCTGGCTTTCCATTGTGTATACACAGAAATCCAATAGAAAAGGGTTTGATTCACTTTCTTCATCTGACTTTGACCCCTTTTACCTTGGTTGTACCATATAACAGAATATTCAGATAGCTCATGGAAAACAAGTGCATTGTAGGAGGTATGTGTCATGCTTTATCCTCATACATCACACAAAGTAAGCTGAAGAAGAGAAACCACTGTTATCTGACCAACGAGTCATTATAGAGTGGGTCTTGGTATCATTTATCTGAACTCTTCCCCAGAAGGTATCTGTCATGTCATTTATCACAGAAGTAGTTTTAATCAAAAGTGATGTTACGATCGGCTGGCTGGAATCAATGTCCACATTCTACCATCACTAGCCAAAAGTGGAATTTGGTCCACCATATGTGTCTAAGGTAGGAAAGTGACCAAGAAGTCTCAAGTGTGGCTCTTCTCCTTCACACCCTTCAACCAATATGGGAAATTGTTATTCTGTTGGTATAGACAGTGTCAACAGACTTCAAAACCCACTATTCGAAAGCATGGGAGATATCTCCTGCTACCCAGTGTCTAGAATGCTTTCTGTAATGAATACTGAAAATGGTTTGGCCCTGTCTACACTAGCAGCCAAAACATTTTCAGTGCTAGGAGGACCAGGATCTGACAACAATTGCTAATTACTGCACATTACTGAAGCTTTGGCTTAAACCATGCCACCCATGGTTAGTAAGCCACAGCTCTTCTAAGCAAATCCAAGTGGATATACATGTGCCATATATACTTAGTTTGTCTGAGCTGGAAGTTGCTCTTTGCCTGTAGCGTAGTAACTCTGAAGCCAGCAAGATCATTCATCCTTGGGGGGAGGGAAGCGGGGGATAATCTGGATCTGGTGAATACCTGCTGTGTCAGATGACTTGTTTCAAGTAGGCTTTCCAGGAAATGTCCCTGACCTGACTTGTAAACAGCATTAAAAGGGAGTAGCCTTGGTTTTTTGCTGCACATCCCACCATCAGGCATGGTGGAAGGAGGGCTCAAAAGAGCACTCTGATCCTACTGCTCAGTGTATGCCCACTGGCTATGCCCTCCCACTCATCCCACACAGACATGCGAGAGCCACATTCTGGCCATACACCCTCCTCGTACCAGTAAGCCCTCTATACTAGGGACTCCACAGGGAATGGCGTAGCAACTAGCTATGCCAGCTATACACCAGCTAAGGAGCTCCAAGAGCTTTCAGTCCCAATTGCCCGATGAGTCTGCATAAGTGGACTAGAGCAGGGGAGACAATCTCGCCCAGCATTTAGCAGCTTGGTCTATAACTGTTTCCACTAAAAATTCTATGTGGCCTTCTTCTCAAAGGAAATCTAGTCTTATTTTAAACTGTGCAACATATTTTATGCATTGTCCCAAAATGAAAGAACCATTCATTCAATGAGATGAATTCAAGGAAATATTACTATACACAATAGGCCAGATCTTCAGCTTATAAATTGTCATAGTTTAGTTGAAGTCACTAGAGCTATGACAATTTATGCCAGCTGAGGATCTGGCCCAACAGATTATCAACCTGTGTAATTCTTCGCTGCAGATCACAGTCACATATTTTGGCTGGATTTTTTTTTAAAGCCTAGATACTTTTATAACTAAAAATATAATTTTAAGATAACAACAATCAAATAGCATGCTTCCAGGCAAAACCTAGTCTCCATAGGGTCAGGAAGAAATCTCCTTATTACCCTGGGCGGAAGTTTCACACAACTAGCTACCAGTAGATGCATTATGCTGGGGTAGGAAGCTCAGATTCCACCTTCCTTGGATGCATCTGTGGTTGGTTGAGGTCTTAAAGGCTAACTGGCCTGATTCAAAATGGCAAGTCATATGACCAATGTCCTTCTTTTATTATCTATGGTATTTCCTAGGCATCTTTAACTTGGTGTCTATGCACCAAATGATTATGAAAAAGGACCAAAAGTTCTAAAAGGAATGATGTGTACAGAGTCATTGTGGAATTAGGAAACTGTACATGAAACCACAGGTATTTTCTTCCTAATGCATGTGATCCCAGTAGAAAAACAGAAGCAATATGTACAATCAATTGAAAAAGTACTGTCTGGGAGATAGCCTCAACTCACATGTTGGATTCAAGATTCCTTGAACACTTTAAGGCTTCAGTCTATGGTACTGTATTAACTGCAGTTATTTTTGCTGGAATGTGATGAATGTTGGGGATGTATTTCCCAGGAACTCCAAGTGTGTCAAAAAGTGTTAGCCTGTTATGACCTTATTAAGCTTATCAGAAAGTGGCCTTGCTCACTCAGATATGAATTGGTTACAGGAAGACTGGGGGTTATAATAAAAGGATTATATCAGAGGTTTGAACACCCAGTCCTAGGGGTCCTTAATAATTCATTTCAAACAGCTGTATCTGAAATGAAACAGACATGTATTCAGCCCATAAATATAACACGATATATAAACACAACTAATTTGCTTCTTGTGACTTCACATCCTTTTATGCAAACAGAAGAGACTACTTATCAATAATAACCAGTAAAATGAAGCCTATGTGTTCTACTCAGAAATAAGAGTTTGTTTATCTCAAACCCAGGAAACATATATTAATTATCCTGTGCTCATTAAAAGAATTGTTTGGATTTTATTTTTTTCTACAGTCTCTCTCCCCCTACAGGAGTTTGCTTGTTCCATCTCACAGAAACACTCACTGGCTATATAGCAAACTATAGTGTCATTCAAGGGTTTCATCAAACTTGCTTTATAACTCTTTTTCTCTGTGATTTAATCTCCTTGTGGGATAACCATTTAATTTCCCCATGGGAAAGCCTCTCTCCATGTAATTATTTCTTCCTATGGAGTAAACAATTTAAAGAGAGATTCCTCTACATCATTGGTTCTCAAACTATGATTTGGGGACCACCTGTGGAGTCCATTCTAGCACACCACAAAAGAGCAATCCAAAAGAGGCATGAGGAAATTGGGGAGGATGGAAGCTCGAAGGGAATGCAGTCCTCATGCTGTCTCCCTGGAGTGACCAAAAGAGATGGGGTAACTACAAATTTGGACAAACAGTACAAACAGTCATCTGCAAGTGTCTACTGGTGATGATACACTTTGAAACAAATGCTTCAGCATCACATGGAACTCCACAGATGATAGAAGACTTCAGGATCTTGGAAGTGAACTAGAAGAGGAAAGGCCAACTGATCTTCTTGGAGATCCTTCCCATGAGCAAGAGAAGGCAGAAAATACTAGAAGTGAACTATTGAGCCCATTCAAACCAAATGCATTTTAATACAGCCAAATGCAAAGGAACAAGGAATACAGGCCATAACAACAGAAAGGGAGACTGTATCCTGGAAGGCAGTGACTGAAAGGGATTTAGGGGTCACAGTGGACAAGCAACCCAACATGAGCTCTCAGGGTGATACTGTGGCAAAAGGGGCTAATCTCACCCTGGGGTGCATAAATGGGGGAGTAATGAAGCAGGAGTAGGAAGGTGATTTTTACCTCTGTGTATGGCATTGGTGAGACCAGCATTGGAATACTGTGTCCAGTTTTGCTATCCACATTTTAATAAGGATATTGAAAAACTGGAGATGGTGCACAGACAAGAGCCAAAAAAATGATTTTGGGGGGGAGAAAATGCCTTACAGCAAGAGACATAAAGAGCTCAATCTGTTATCAAAAAGATGACTCAGAGGTGACTTGATCACAATTTACAAGTACCTTCAAG